TAGAGACTGAGCACCATCTCTCTCCTCTCCACCAAGGCTAGATGAGGGGCAGTCTCTGGAGAAGAAATGAGCTGTTGGACAGCTCCCTCACCCTGTGTTTGTCTGATGAACGCAGTCCAAATCCTGCAAATATCAATAGGTCAAAACTCACTTGAAATACAAAATGCAGTGAACCCCTGCACCAAATTCTCCTCACCTTCTCCCTTCTTGTACTCATTAGTTAGGTGTCCATATGATTTAGTATTGATTCAAGATCCCAGGTTTGAACCCTGATTGTGCTGAGTCAGAACAGTGGCTGATCTAATTCAGTTCAATAATGAAGCACTGTGAAGTGCTTTGGGACATTTTTACTGCACGAGAGTTATGTCAAAAACAATGAACAATATGCTGGCACCATCTGTTAAATTCACAGCTTAATTTGCTTTAGAGATCAGAAAGTCCGCTTTTGGCAAGCAATGGATGGAAGTTGATGTTGTGTTTGTACTGGGACCAGTGGAAGAAAACAATCATCTAGCTTTAGCCTGAGACATCTGAAAATGGGAACATATGAAACGGAAATTTCAGCCAAGGAAAGCTACTGAATTGACCTTAACATGAAGACTAATTAATCTACTTGTAGACTTTCTTTTGCCAAGTACTTAATAATTAAGATAAAATCAAGCTAATGACAATGTTATCATGTGCTTCTTTCTTTTAAAACAGACCAAGGTTAGAATGTTGACATGAAAGATTTGGTGACCCACCCCTACTCAAGGGTCCCAATATTAATTATTCTCATCAGTTAAGAATCATTGCTGAGTCACATAATCCAGCACATCAAAGAAGGGAAAGTGTGCATTAAAAGTGTTTGTTCAACTTGCATTTTATCATTATCCTTCATTTTTCCTTTCCTCATTTTACAAAAAAAGTTTGTTCTCAGATAATCAAGCCTGTCTCGAACTCCCCCCTCTGACTCTCAGAAACTTTGTAGTCAATATATTCCATTTTTTCTTCCAAACTACATATGTGGCCACTGAACTGTCTTTTTGCTGACTGCATCATCACACATTCCAATCAAAATTCATCCATGAGGGAGAAAGATATAGAAGATTTTAGTGGCAGAGTGGAAGGAGTTAATTAGAGGTTGGTGTGGAGCATCAGGACATGGAATGCATAATGCCTGTTTCTGTGCTACATATTCGATGTAATTGCTGGGCCAAAGTCCCTTCCTAACAGCACTGTGGATGAATTCAGACCACAAGGACTGCAGCACTTCGAGAAGGCAGCTGACCAATACCAAGTTCTCAAGGTCATTTTGAGATGGACAATAAGTACTGGCACATCCAGAGATGCCTACAGCCCATGAAAGAATATTTGAACAAAAAAACTTTTGCAAAAGGGCTTGTTTCACATCAGGGTAAACTGACCATCTCAGAATACCTCCTTCTATTTCCAGCTATTTAGAATGCTGTACCTCATCATCTGGGACAAGTCTAGCAATCCAGTTGAAAACAGACTGTTTCTGGTCCAAGTCAATGGGCCTGGTAAATTTGAACTCAGATCCTTGGCAATACAATTGGCAAGAATGAAGATTTTTCTCTCCAGGTATCAATATTTTGGGCAACTATAGATGGCTGTATGTAAAACTTATATTTCCTGTGTATTTGTAGCTTTACATATATACGAACTTATGAATTAGGAGCAGGAGTAGGTCACTCAGTCCGTTGAATCTACTCTGCTATTCAATAAGATAATGGTCAATCTGATTACTCAACCTACCCACCTCCCTGACTGACCTTTCATACCCTTGCTTATTAAGAATCTATCTTCAGTGCCTTAAAGAAACTTCAAGGACTGTTTCTTCTGTCTTTTCAGGAAGAGAGTTTTAAAGACTCATAACCATCTATGAGAAAAACTTGAACAAAAACAGAAGTTATTGGAAAAGCTCAGCAGGTCTGAAGAAAAAATCAGAGTTAACATTTCTGGTCCGGTGACCCTTCCCCAGAACTCACCGGACCCGAAACATTAACTCTGATTTTTTTCTTCAAAGATGCTGCCAGACCTGCTGAGCTTTTGCAGCAACTTCTGTTTTTGTTCCTGATTTACAGCATCCGCAATTCTTTCAGTTTTTACGAGAAAAACTTTCTCTTTGACTCTGTTGTAATGGGTTTTTTAAAAAAAAAACCCGAGTTCAGGGACTTTTCCAATGTAAGAAGCATCATTTCTCATGCCTCAAGATCTCTCAGGATCTTATATCTTTCAACAAAGTCACCTTTGTACTTCTAGACTCCAGCGAGTACAAGCCTAGCCCGTCCAACCTTTTCTCATAGGACCTCTCACCCATTCCAGGTAATAGTTTAATAAACTTTCTCTGAACTGTTTCCAACACATTCACAGCCTTCCTTAAATAAGGAGATGAGTACTGTACACAGTATTTCAGATATGGTCGTACGAATACCTGGTATAATAGAAACATAACCTCCATACTTTGTATTCAATTACCTTCACAATAAACAGTAACATTATCATTTCCAAGCTGGTTTCTTGTTTCGCAGATGTTTCGTTACCATGCTTGGTAACATCCTCAGTGCAGCCTCCGATGAAGCGTCGGTGTGTTTTCCCGCCTGGTTTTTAAACTGCTGCAAATCCAATCAAAACTGTGGATACGCTACGTAGACGACACCTTTGTCATCAATAAATGGACCAAATTAGAGGAGACACACAAACTTATAAACAACACCCTCACCGGAATAAAATTCACCAGAGAGGAGGAGAAGAACAAATAGCTCCCATTCCTGGACGTCATGGTAGAGCGCAAGACAAATGGGGAACAGCAAACAAAAGTACACCGAAAAGCCACACACACAGATCAGGTACTGAACTTCAACAGTAACCATCCCAGGACACACAAACGAAGCTGCGTGCGAACACTATTTAAAAGGGCAAAAACACACTGCAGCAACACGGAACTATGCCAAGAAGAAGAAGAATACCTCTTCCAGGTTTTCAAGGATAATGGATATCCAAAGAATTGGATCAGAAGATGCCTACATGAACAGCATCAGAAAGAGACTACACGAACAGCATCAGAAAGAGACTACACGTCCCGACACACTCATCACACTACCCTATATTAGAAACACGTTGGAACTCACCACAAGACTCCTACGACCGTTGGGCATCAGAGTGGCACACAAGCCCACGTCAACCCTACGACAAGTGCTCACCCGAACCAAGGACCCACTCCCAGCCATGGACAGGACCAATGTCATCTACAAGATCCCCTGCAGAGACTGCGAGAAACACTACATCGGACAAACAGGAAGGAAACTAACAACAAGAGTACATGAACACCAACTGGCTGCAAAAAGACACCACCAGTACTCACTCATCTCAATCCACATGGACAAGGAGAACCACCACTTTGACTGGGACAACACCAAGATCCTGGGACAGGCTAGGCAGAGACAGGCACGAGAATTCCTAGAAGCATGGCACTTCACGAAGCATGCTATTAATAAACACATCGAACTCGACCCCATATACATTCCACTGCAAAGGAAAACTGGAAGTGAGGCAATCCATCTCAACGGACCCCAAAGTTTAAAAACCAGGCGGGAAAACACACCAATGCTTCATCGGAGGCTGCACTGAGGATGTTACCAAGCATGGTAACGAAATGTCTGCGAAACAAGAAACCAGCTCGGCGAGCCAACCAACCTCAACAACCTCAACACCCACAATCCGAGCTACAAATCTACTCCAAAACTTTAGATTATCATTTCCAAATTATTTTCTATACTAACCTTTTGTGATTCTTACATGAGGACACCCAGACCACCCCAGTATCTCAGAGCTCTGCAATCTGTCACCATTACGATAAAATGCTTGTTTTTTTTCCTTCAAAAATCGACAATTTCACATTATGCTCCATTTGCCATAAGGTCCCAATCTGCGTCATCCTGCAATCATTTCTCTATAATAGCTAGTATTTCGCACTTATTTACTGTATTTTTTGTATTCATACTATGAGTTTATCTTTATTTTTTGAATGCTATGTGCATTCAGATACAAAGCTTTTAGTTTCGTCATGTCACTATTTTTGTAACCTTTAGCTTTGTCTGTTGATTCTGTCTTCAATTTGTATTCTCTATCCTATCCTTTCATGGTCAGTTTATCATTGCCTGTCTTAGTACCTTTCTCTCATGACTTAGCTGTATTCTCTGACTTACCACATTTTCCTAGATTTGATTTCTTGTCCCCACTATCTAGTTTAAATTCTCTCTATTTCTCTCTTTATATAACTCACTAGAACACTAGTCCCAATATGATTCAGGTGTAGACAGTCACAGAAGTACAGCCTCACTTTCCCTAGTATTTGTGATTGCGCCTCACAAACTGCAGCTCACTTCAGCCAAACCAGTCTTCTCATTTCTCTGGGTATTTAAACAATATGCACCATTCAGGATGCAAAGTGGTGAATTAATGACCTCCTCCCATCAGTCCATTGAAGTAGTCTAGAATGACAGGTCAAAGATGTACTGGTTGCAGTTATGCTGGTTGATATGTTTCACACTGTGACATACTGAAGCACTTTGGGATGTCTTGAGGACATGAAAAGTATGTTCTTCTTTTACCAATTGCAGTTATGGTTTTTCAGGTTCACAGGTTTAAATTATACTCGGTGACATTATGGGGGTTAACATCTTACTGGTGGAGGTAATACTGTTTGAAGCTGCATTGTTTGAGGTTATGCTTGTCAAGTTAACAATAGTTAAAGTTACAAAGTGATCTGACTGCAGCTATTGATTATACAGCAATTACTTGCTGTTACCTAGCAGAGCACAAACTCAGCCCTTCATTGAAACTGTCAACATGGATTTGAATAGTTTGTCCATTCACTGTCTGTGAAGGGGTCCACCTGTCCAGTCAACTTCTGATTTGATTATCAGGGTCTTTTGAACTCTGAAGGTCAACATTTAGGTATAAAGTTTGAGTTTCTGGGCTCCTCCCTCACAATCTACAATTCAGTTGCAACCACAAGAGGGGAGCATGTGGTGCCTGCTCTTCATTTTTCTATTTGCTGGTAAGAAATGTGAATGATAAACAAATGCAAGGGGACTGTTTATGCAGAGTATTGTGTTTTATATAATCATAAGCAATTTATCTGAATATCTCTTTAAAAAACAAGACTGAGTGCAACAACAATTTGAATTTATAGCACCCAGTGTAAAACATCCTAAGATGCTTCACAGGAATGCTATCAAACAGACTGCGAGATCAAGACACATAGGGAGATATTACAGCAGAAGATCTAATGTTTGATTAAAAGGTAGGTTTTAGGACATTACTTAAAGACATGAGAGAGAGAAATGTGAGGCAAAAAGTATTAGAAAGGTAATTCTAGACCTTAGGATCTTGGTAGCTGAAGGCATGGTAAAGCGATGAGAATCAGAGATGTGCATGAGACCAGAATTGTTGGAGCACAGAGTTCTTGCAGTTTGTAGGGCTGGAGGAGGTTACAAACTTGGGAGGGATGAGGAAGAATTTAAATACATAGATGTTAATTTTAAAATCAGAGTGGCGCTGAAACAAGATCCAACGTAGGTCAGTGAGCACATGAATGATAATTGAATGCATTTAGTGTGAGATAAGCTACAGGCAGAAAAATTTTGGATTAACACGGCTTACAATAGGTGCAAAGTGGGAGCCCGTAGGTATTATTGATGTGTTTCCGCAACAGATGAGCTGTGGCAGGTATTGGCATTACTCAACAGAAAAGGTTTGGGAGCAGATTTAGAGTTGGAAGTTCATATCAAAGTCAGAAAGGATGCCAAGGTTGCAAACAATTTGGTTTAGCCACAGACCCTGACTAAGGAGTAGGATGCAGTCAGTGGCTGAGGAACAGCTCTTGTGGTGGGAACCAAAGGCAATAGATTTTTATTTTCCAAATTTAATTGGGAAATATTTCTGCTCCTTCAATAAGCGCTATGACAAATTAGAGACAGTGGAGGGATTGAGAGAGAATGGTGAAGGTGGGTGTTGTCAGTGTTTAATTTCAACCTGAAGATGATGCTATTGACAAGTGGCATCCTGTAGATAAGAGGTGACAACAGGCCACAGATCTTTGGGGAGTTCCAGAGGTGACAGTTTAGGCATGTGAAGAGAAGGCATTGTAGGAGATTCTCTTTAACATTACTGGATAGATAGGAATGGAACTAGATAGATGAATGCAAACAACCTATAGATTTCGGCAGCTTTTTATATCAGTTATGAAACTAGACTCCCAACGTTCTCCACTTGTCTCAGTAAGATTGATAATATTTGGGTACACCTTTATGGCACCTGACCACTTTCTGGTGTATTGATGTTTGAACTGAGGCAATAGTTGTTAGCTGGTTAATATGCCACACAAATACACCTGTGCCAGGTACCCAAAAATAAAACAGAAAGTTCAGGAGAAACTCAGCAAGTCTGACAGCATCTGAGAAGGGACATCTCAGTATCTGCAGTATTTTGGTTTTATTTTATTGTGTCCGATGCCATTCTGATGCTAATAAACATATGCTTGGGTCGACCAACGAGGGTTATCATGACAGAACCCCGACCTAGCACAGACTCTGCAGTATTACTGCTGCTGCATCAGGTGTGACCAGCACACTTTGTCCATATCAGTAGCCTCTGGTTGGTATGATCCAACACTGCAAAACGCAGTGCATTGACACATTGAATCATGACTGAAACTCAAAACAACAATGTTGATACGTTATTGTAAAGCTGTGGAATATTACTTAAGGCATACGACTTTCAATCTTGTCTCAAACATTATCACCTCTAAAACAGAAGACTCCACTCCTATGAGTTCATTATCCAGGCTGACACACCAGTGCAGTACTGTCAGAGGTGCCATCTTTTGGATGAGGCTCTGTATGCTGGATGTAGAGAAAAGTAGCAAAATGCTTTCTGCTACACTGGCAAACAGTTCATCCTCAAAATCATCCTTGAAGCATTTTATTCATTCATGGGTTGTGGGAATCACTGGCTGGGTCAGTATTAATTTCCCGTATCTAGCTACCCTTGAGAAGATGGTTGAGCTTCCTTCTTGAACAGCTGCAGTCCATTTGGTGTAGGTACACCCTAAATGTTGCAAGAGAGAGATTTCCAGGACTTTGACACTGAAGGAATATCAATATATTTCCAAATCAGCATGGTGAGTGGCTTGGAGGAAACTTGCAGTTGGCAATATTCCCACGTACCTGCTGACCTTGTCTTCCTTAATGTAGTGGCTCTGGAAAGTGCTGTCTAAGGAACCTTGGTGAATTATCTCGTTATTATCTGAATTACTGTTGTGAGAACATGCTGTGCTCAAATTAGTCACTATGCTTCCCTAGTTTACAAGGTGAGTAGAATTAATTAGCTGTAAGACAATGTGGAATATCTTGAGACCATGAATCATAGAATCATGAAAGATGCTGTAGAAGTGTGAGTTCTGAATATTTTGAAATTCCACCTCTCAGTGTGGAGGATATTCAAGCTAATTGTCCATTCTGTGTTTCAGGTGCTCTTGGAGAACGTTTTCAGCCCAATGCTATTTGGCAGTTCCGTAATATGATCAAGTGTGCTGTTCCGAACAGCCGTCCTGTATTTGACTACAGCGATTATGGATGTTACTGTGGATTTGGAGGGACTGGATCTCCTGTTGATGAACTGGACAGGTGACATGAGCTCTTCCATTTACGAGGGATAGGTAATGGAAGATTAAAAGTCTGAATAAAATGTAACCGGAAATTTGATTAAACTCTCTAACTATGTGTCAATCATCCATGTCAGAAGAATGGGTAAAGTATCTCAGTTTTTAAAAATTAATTTTTGGGATATGGACATCTCAAGGAGGGCTAAGTCCTGTCTCTAATTACCCTTGAAAAGGTGGTGGTGAGATTTATGTTAAGGTATTCCTACAGCGTTGTGATGTTAGGAAATTCCAAGTTTTTGACCCAGTGATGTTGAAGGAATAGTGATACAGCTCTGCATTTCTGGCCAGGCCTACTCATGCCAGCCTTCTCAGCCAGAGACCATCTTCATAACACTGGCTCATGAGGGGACATGAAGACACAGTTCCATTTCAGTGTGTTCGTAAATTAGTGTGATTGAGATATGTCAGTAAGTGGTAGGGAAGCAGAATGGCAGATCAGTGGGATTTTGTGTGTGTGTGTGTGTGTGTGTGTGTGTGTAGTGTGGCATGGTGGTAAGTGGATCGACTGGCTGAGTGGCATGTGGGTAGGGTGGAGACAGAGTGAGGTCGCAGGTGCTGAGAGTGGCAGGTGAGTAGTGTGGATATTCAGGTCAATTTTACAGGAATCAGGAAGTTGAGTCAGAGTTTCAGGAGACAGTAGAGTGGTGGAGTCTAATCAGATTGGATCGTGAGGAGTCAGGAGGTTTGGGGTGAGCTGGGAGGCAGGGATGGTTGGTTGAGAGTTGGTCAACTGTCTAATACTTCCCGGATAGCTATCCAGGTAAATAAGTGGGAACTGTTTCATATTGCTAACCTTAACCCATAGGTGGAGACATTTCACAGGGTCTTGGAGAACTGGAACTTTCCCCAGTGGAAGTTCAGACTTCCTGGGCAATTCCCACAATTCAGTGTTTTTGGACTTCTGAAGAGTCCTGACATGTACCTCTAGTCATACTGGCTCTGACTATGCTGAGATGAGTGGATCTCAGCTAATATCTTAAATGGGAAATAACCTTATTAAATCCCCATTATAAATGATCTTTAAAACAAACAGGGAATGTAATGATGTACAGAAATATAATCAAATATTGTCAGAAAATGTTATGGTGGGAACTCAACTGGCCAAAGATGTATAATATAAAATGTAAAGATAAACTGGGGTTTTATTCAATTTATCTTGCTGATTGTGGGCTGCAAGATGAAATTTTATAGGACCGTTCCTTTTGGAGATGAAAATGATTGGGCAGGATCGGTGAAATAATAGATTGCAGCTGCTACTTTGAAGAAATAAATTTGCTCAAATTTATCTCATCTGATTTTATCTCCTCCTTTGGTGTCTGCAATAAAGTCAACTTTCTGTCTCCAAGTCTAAATTTTTAGAAGTTTCTGAAATAAACTGGATGGATTTAAAGAAATATAGAGAATAATTTACTGCCTCAAACTTAGAAGAGAGGTGGTATTTGGTTTGGGAAGCACATATTCAAGTGGAAATGTATGGGCTAGGGACCATGTACCTACCTCTGCCCTGATTACATTTGGAGTCGAAAGGCTTATAAACAGCCATACTGCCAATCGAGACCCTTAATTGGGCAATGATTCCCAATTAAGAATATTATTCCGCCATTGCTGAAAATCACTCAGCAGCAGCTGGGGGGATTGCCATGTAATATGACTGAAAATAAAACACTGTTGGAGTTGCTGGTGTACTTCTACAGGATTAGGTGGTGATGCAATTTCTCTAGTTTAAGGCCACTCAGTATTTGAAGGAGTCTGACATCAGGAAGGATGGGTCCCATTGAGAGCCATCCCCTGAACTTGCTGCCAATCCCTCTCCATCCCCCCCCCTCCTCCATGACTCAGTCTAGCTATCATTCAGCTATGGTCTGAGTTCCTCAATGATCCCCTACTCGAGTGCTGTTGAACTCTTTACCCTAGCTACAACCAAGTTGTATGTGACTGTCTAACAAAGCCGTGGTTGTAAGCGTATTATACTGAAACCTGAGCTTTTCATGGGCTTCATAAGTAAAACCAGAGAATATAAAAGCCAAGAGGTTTTGCTAAACCTATATAGAAAATTTCAATAAAACAAAGAACACTGGATGCTGGAGATCTGAAATACACAAAACAGAAATTGCTGGAGAAACTCAGCAGATCTGGCTACATCTGTGGAGAGAAAACAGTTAACGTTTCAAGTGCAGTGACCCTTCTCCAGAACAGTTCAACCTCACTGTAACTACGGTTTCAGATTCTGTGCACCTGATTGATGTGAGGGCAAGGGATAAAGGGATGATGGGGAGTTAAAAAAGGGCCTGGCAACAGAAGAGGCACTAAGGTCCATGATTTCTCTCCCTGGCTGGTGGGTGAGACCCTCATCTCAATTAAATATTACTCGTTTGTTTCCACTCAGATTTTCTCCCTTCATCTCTTAACATTATTTGGTGATAATTAAGTATCTGGTATCAATGATCATTTTTCATATGGAAGCCAGGACAGTGAGTATTGAGAGGTTGTATGAGCTTGGGTTCATCTCAGGCCAACCTTGTCCTTGCTTGAAAGAAGAAGGATTTTCAACTTGTGTGCCTGGACAGCAATCAGGAAGCAGAACCCTGTCTGAGTTTTTACTTTCTAGCCCAGGGTGCTGAGGCCTCACTTCCTCAGGCTGTGACTTGGCAGTTCTTAGGTGTCTGAAAGTAGGAAATCAGAACAGGCTGTTATTAGAAGCATGAGCTCTGTGGTTATACTATCAATAGTTTGTTCTGCATGCCAGACAGCTAAGTGTGGGCTGTTGCAGTTGGCTGAATGGTGCTGAGAGTAATCACATCCAATAGGGTTCAGGAGAACTAGTTCTCTGCTTGTTATCCTCTGTTCCCTTCTATTGTGTGTTACTTTGTCCTGCAGAGAGGAGAATATCAGTTGGCATTGAAACAACAGATTGAAAGCTCTCCTTCTGTGCTATAACCATGGAATGATTTTTAGGCCCACTCCACAGCTTGAGCAGTTAGCCTAGGTTAGTCCTCCAGGGAAGAAGGACCAAGAAGTGCACTGACAGAAGTAACAGACACATAGGAAATATGAGCAGAAGTACACCATACAGCACCTTGAGCCTACTCTGTCTTTCAGTACAATCATGAATTATATTCTGCCTGAAGTCTTCCATCTGCTCCCCATATCTCTTGATTTCTTGAGAGATCTACAATGTGGCATTGTCCCTACCTCTGGGCTACAAGTCCTGGGTTCAAGGGCCACCTACTGCAGAAGCATTTCATAACATGCCTGAGCAGAGTGATTTTTTTTTAAGAGTATCTAGACGTCACCAATCTATCTCAACCTTATATACATTTAGATGGATGTTGAAAGTTTATTTGATAAAGAACAGAGGGTGGGGTTCTTGTGGCACAGTTATAGTGTCCCTACCCCTGGGTCAGGAGTTTCACTTGCTCCAAATGTGTATCACAGCATGTCTGAACAGGTTGATTTTTTAATACAAAGTCTATAAGGCAAAGTTTAGCTGGTTGGACCAATATTCATTGGAATTACAAAAAGGAACAAAGGACTTTTCCAGAGACAACAAGGTGCAGAGCTGGATGAACACAGCAGGCCAAGCAGCATCATAGGAGCAGAAAGGCTGACGTTTCGGGCCTAGACCCTTCATCAGAAATGGGGGAGGAGAAGGGGGTTCTGAAATAAATAGGGAGAGAGGGGGAGGCGGCTAGAAGATGGATAGAGGAGAGGATAGGTGGAGAGGAAACAGACAGGTCGAAGAGGCGGGGATGGAGCCAGTAAAGGTGAGTGTAGGTGGGGAGTTAGGGAGGGGACAGGTCAGTCCAGGGAGGACGGACAGGTCAAGGACTTTTCCAGGTATTCTTGCTCTACCAAAACCAGATTAACCAGTCATTTATCACATTGTTGTTTGGTGAATCTTATGTGCAAAACCATTGCTATGCTTACTCACAGAATAGAAGTGCTGCAATTCATTGTACATAATGTCCTTTGATCAGGATCTGTGCTTTCTATCGTTACCTGCTCTGATGCTAGATCTGGCCTTTGTAAGTCTCAACTGAGATGCACCCACTAAGAGCCATTTATAACATCATTTCTGAATCTGAAATCAACCAGTTTGGGTTAATTTGAATTTGTATCTTTTTGAAAGGAAGCCATTCAGCCTGTAATGTAGGCCCACAGCCTGGACTCTTGGTGGCGACAGTGAGGTGTTGGCTGCAGCTGTGGCAGAGTGGGGACCCCTGACTGTGGTAGGTTGGAAGCAGAGACTCTTGATGGCAGTGTCAGGTCGTCAACTGACAGTGTCGGTGCCCAAAGAAGGGACTCCTGGCTCCAGTAGGCCCAGTGCAGGGAATTTTGGAAGCAGTGATGGGTCGTTGATTGCGGTGGTGTTGGTGCCACAGTAAAGACTCTGGCTTCGGTAGACCTGGAGCCAGGGACTGTTGGTGGTGTCAGCAAGACAGCGGCAGCATGAGGAGATGGATCGCCTCAGACATCATTGTTGTTGTACCTGGAGTGGGAACTCCTTGAGGCCAACCTTGTAAAGACATTGCAGAAACCCTAGAAGCATGTTTCAGACACTGGTTGATGAAGGTGAACTTCATTTAAATACTTATTATTCTTTTGTAACTTAAAATGGCGCCAGTTTGTGGTGAAAAAAACACTTTTCACTGTATCTCCCTAGATATACGTGAGTATAAAATCATTCGCTGATTTCTGTGCCAACTCTTCTGTGCCAGAAAACTATTTTCAAATCTGCTTCTCAGGTCTCCTGAAGGCCAAATATGTCACTTTATTAGAAGGGCACCAGGGATCCTCCAGTTTCTCTCGTATCGAGCCATTGTTCTTGCAATCAGCTTACACAGTGAAGGCTAACAAGCTATTTGATTTTGGGAGCATCACAACTGAGCCCAAAGGGAATTGTTCACTAAGGATCACTGGATAGTAATCAGGAGTAGCAACAACCATCCCGAGCTCACAGCACTGAAGCTAATTGCCTCAGTCCCACCAGTGCACTGACTAATCTTGTAGAGACCTAGGATTTAACCTGGAGCCTTCCTGGCCTGTGTGACTCAGAACTGCAGTGGATCCAACATTTACTCTCCCTCCTATTTACACACATTTAATTTTCTTCCTTCCCTGATGTATAATTCTCTGTTCAAGAAGCAAATATAAGCAACCAAGTTCCTGTCAAGATCACTCCTAGCTACTTGGATAAGGGGAGAAATAGTGGTTAAGGTAAACCCCTCTTCAAATTCCAACTGTGGGAAGCACCTGATTGTTGCCAACATACTCCTTGGTTTTAGATGCCTGAGGATTGCAAAGAAATCAAAGCACAGAAGCAATCCATTCAGCCTAATTGGTCGATGTAAGTGTTCATGCGGTTTATCTTAGATTGTCCAATCCAATTAAAACATTTTTTCATTCCTTTCTCCCTCGAGATTGGAAATGCACCTCTGTTATTTTCATCAACTACTGCATGTGGTAGCAACGTCAACATTTTAATCACTTCTAAATTGTATATTCAATTTATTATTTATGACATAGTTTTGGTCACCCCCTACAAGTGAAGACATCTAGCACACCGCTTCATAATTTTTTAAATGGATCCTCCATGCCCCCTTGGTTTTTCTTTTCTCAGGAAATGGGATTGCTGAATGTAATCTGAATGCAGAGTTCATATATGAATAGCTTTTCACAGCAATGGGCAAGATTGGGTAGTTGAGATGAAGGGAATTGTGGACATTAAAATGTACTGCAGCTCCATGCAATAATAGGACATGGCAATGGTACTCAGAAATAGTACTTTTTTCTGAATTTATCAATGCCAAATTATTTGCACCTACTTTATGGCTAAACATCATTTGACGATGTCTGAACCTGAATCTCGAACCTAACCCTCCCTCTCCTGATCCCTTCTCCCGCCTCCAACACACCCCCTCCTCCTGGACACCACCCCAAGGCCTCTTACCCTCCCTCAACCTCTTCATCACCAACTGCCGTCGAGACATCAATCGCCTCAACCTCTCCACCCCTCTCACCCAGTCCAACCTCTCCCCCGCAGAACGTGCAGCCCTCCGCTCCAATCCCAACCTCACCATAAAACCCGTGGACAAGGGAGGCGCAGTTGTAGTATGGCGCACTGACCTCCACATCGTGGAGGCCAGATGCCAACTCTCCAACACCTCCTCCTACCGCCCCCTTGATCATGATCCCACCCCCAAGCACCAAACCATCATCTCCCAAACCATCCACAACCTCATCACCTGAGGTGACCTCCCACCCACAGCCTCCAACCTCATCGTTCCCCATCCCCGCACCGCCCGCTTCTATCTCCTTCCCAAAATCCACAAACCTGACTGCCCTGGTCGACCCTTTGTCTCCGCCTGCTCCTGCCCCACCGAAATTATCTCCACCTATCTCGACTCCATTTTCTCCCCCTTGGTCCAGGAACTCCCTACCTACGTCCGTGACACCACCCACGCCCTCCACCTCCTCCAGAACTTCCAATTCCCCGGTCCCCAACACCTCATCTTTACCATGGACGTCCAGTCCCTATACATCTGCATTCCCCATACAGATGGCCTAAAGGCCCTCCGCTTCTTCCTGTCCCGCCGGCCCGACCAGTCCCCCTCCACTGACACCCTCATCCGCTTAGCCGAACTCGTCCTCACCCTCAACAACTTCTCTTTCAATTCCTCCCACTTCCTACAGACAAAGGGGCTGGCCATGGGTACCTGCATGGGCCCAAGCTATGCCTGCCTCTTTGTAGGTTACGTGGAACAATCCCTCTTCCGTACCTACACTGGCCCTAAACCCCACCTCTTCCTCTGTTACATTGATGACTGTATTGGCACCGCCTCGTGCTCCCACGAGGAGCTCGAACAGTTCATCCACTTCACCAACACCTTCCACCCCAACCTTAAGTTCACCTGGACCATCTCTAACACCTCTCTCACCTTCCTGGACCTCTCTGTCTTCATCTCGGGCAACCACCTAGAAACTCGATATCCATTTCAAGCCCACCGACTCCCACAGCTACCTAAAGTACACCTCCTCCCACCCACCTTCCTGCAAAAATGCCATCCCCTATTCCCAATTCCTTCGCCTCCGCCGCATCTGCTCCCAGGATGAGGCATTCCACTCCCGTACATCTCAGATGTCCTCGTTTTTCAAGGACCGCAACTTCCCCCCCTCAGTGGTCGAGAACGCCCTCGACCGTGTCTCCCGCATTTCCCACAACTCATCCCTCACACCCCGTCCCCGCAATAACAACCAAAAAAGAATCCCCCTCGTCCTCACATACCACCCCACCAACCTCCGGATCCAACGCATCATCCTTCGACACTTCCGCCATCTGCAATCCGACCCCACCACCAAAAACATTTTTCCCTCCCCACCCTTATCTGCTTTCCGGAGAGACCACTCTCTCCGTGACTCCCTTGTCCGCTCCACACTCCCCTCCAGCCCCACCATACCCGGCACTTTTCCCTGCAACCGCAGGAAGTGCTACACTTGCCCCAACACCTCCTCCCTCACCCCCATCCCAGACCCCAAGAAGACTTTCCACATCAAGCAGATGTTCACCTGCACATCTGCTAATGTGGTTTACTGCATCCGCTGTACCCGTTGTGGCCTCCTCTACATCGGGGAAACCAAGCGGAGGTTTGGGGACCACTTTGCAGAACATCTACGCTCGGTTCGCAATAAACAACTGCACCTCCCAGTCGCGAACCATTTCAACTCCCCCTCCCATTCCTCAGACGACATGTCCATCCTGGGCCTCCTGCAGTGCCACCACGGTGCCACCCGAAGGTTGCAGGAACAGCAACTCATATTCCGCTTGGGAACCCTGCAGCCCAATGGTATCAATGTGGATTTCACAAGCTTCAAAATCTCCCCTCCCCCTATCGCATCCCAAAACTAGCCCAGCTCGTCCCCGCCTCCCTAACCTGTTCTTCCTCCCACCTATCCCCTCCACCCACCTCAAGCCGCACCCCCATTTCCTACCTACTAACCTCATCCCGCCCCCTTGACCTGTCCATCCTCCCTGGACTGACCTATCCTCTCCCTAACTCCCCACCTACACTCACCTTTACTGGCTCCATCCCCACCTCTTTGACTTGTCTGTTTCCTCTCCACCTATCTTCTCTTCTGTCCATCTTCTATCCGCCTACCCCTCTCTCCCTATTTATTTCAGAACCCCCTTCCCCTCCCCCATTTCTGAAGAAGGGTCTAGGCCCGAAACGTCAGCCTTCCTGCTCCTCTGATGCTGCTTGGCTTGCTGTGTTCATTCAGCTCTACACCTTGTTATCTCGGATTCAGATGCCTGAAAACTGAGAATGAAGATTGGAATTTGAACCTACAATTTGGATGCTGATTGTTTTAAAGTACAGACTCAGAGGGACAGTTACTCACAGTGACTAAAGTGATTCTGCCTCTGTATTAATTCAGATGCTGTCAGATCCATGATCACTGCTATGGAACAGCCAGCAAGATTAAGGAATGCCGGCCAATCTATGACAATCCCTACATCAAATTGTACAAATACTCCTGTTCTAGTGGCAGGATCACTTGTGGCCGTAAGTATTTCTCACTTAAAATTCTACCATTCCTAGTCTGAACCTGTCACAGAGGTACAGTGTCTCAAAGCTGCTGTTCAAAAAGCAGTTGAACACTTCTGTAATTTTTGTAATGTAAACAATTTTAACTGAACTAAAATAATTTTAACTGGACAATTTAGCAAAATACTGCAATGATAGAGCGTGGTTACAGTAATCCACCTTGCTGCTTCACAGCCACGTGATCCCGCATTCCAAATGACCCTTGACCCCATTCAACTTAGATTGACCCAAACTGTCTGTCCCAAAATCCTGTGATATACAAAATCCAGCTTGGCCTCATTTTGCCATTTTGCCAGTTTTGTGACACACTCTTAGTATTTTCCTGAGCAATAAGTCCTCACCACTGGGCCATCCTTCAGATGTGAGGCTTTCTTGTGTGGCTGTTTGACCAAGGGAGACATCACACTTGTGTCTAATGTTAGCCTAATTTGAGATCTGATTACTGGCTAATGATCAGGAGAATGGGTCCCAGTTGCAATTTCCTCTCCTATGTTCAGGTTGCAGAGGCTGTTTATAACTCGAATTTCTTAGACCTTAGAATAGTCATTGATGGCAAACCCGAGCTGATGAGAGCTGAGCACACTTCACCACACAGTGAGACATGCTGGACATGGATAACATGTATGATGTATCATAATCAACATTCAGTCTCTATATGTGCAGCAACCTGGAATGTAGGCACTGCACTGATTGATTGATTACCCAATAGCACAACCCTTTCAAACCTGGACCCGTGTCAAACACTAAACTTCATGGCATTCAGCACAGACCATCATAACACTTACATGATAGATGAGAAATCAAAGCTGTGACTCACACAGGACCCTTGGAAGTATGAATAATTGTTCCCCTTCATCCAGTAGTGGCCTTTGTATTTTTTTTTGCTACTAATGTCAACATTATTGAGGTGCTGAAGTTCAATTTGCAAGCCCCTACATCCCTATGGGATGTAGAAAATCAGTTTTGACCAGCATCTGGCCCCTCTGCATGCAGAGCAAATAGGCAATGAATTGATTGCAAATTGAATGTAACTGTGCTTTGCAAGTCACTACTACATGTTTTTGTTGCTGCAATGTTGAAGCGATTTGTGGCACTAACAAGGCAATTAACAAGCATTATGGGGAGGCGTTGGCCTAGTGATATTATTGTTAGACCATTAATCCAGAAAGTCAGCTTATGTTCAGGGGACCCAGGTTCGAATCCTGACACGGCAAATGATGGAAATAATAGCTGGAATTAAGAATCTACTGACGACCATTAAATCATTGTCAGCTATCAGGAAAAACTCTCTTGGCTCAGTAACGTCCTTAAGGGAAGGAAATCTGCTGTCCTCACCTGGTCTGGCCTACATGTCATTCCAAACCCACAGCAATGTGGTGGACTCTCAACTGCACACTGAAATGGCCTAGCAAGCCACTCAGTTTAAGGGCAACCAGGGAGAGGCGATAAATGCTAGCAGTCAATGATGGCCAAGTTCCATCAGTGAATAAAAGAAAACTCTGTTAATTGGCATCTCGCTACTGCCAACTGAAAATTTTGCCATTGGTGCTTGTGAAAAGCATACAATTTGCAGTAAGATGAGCTTGACATCGAGAGAGACCTCACTCGACTTCTCGTCTGATTCTGTCACATGTCTCACTATAGCCCACATTGCTCAGACCCTTATAATATTCCATCCTTACCTTTTGATTGTATGAAAGAGACACAATGGTGGAATGCCCTTCATCTGTGTTGTAAACATCTGTTTGATATAATCAAACCTACAATTCAAAGAAGAAAATTATTGGTTATTGCCAGAAAAAGGCCTTATAATTGGAGGAAAAAAGGTGCACTTAAAGTGCTTCGATATGAAGTTTGTAAGTATATGGGACAGTAATTTATTCATACTACACAAACTGGTGTTGTTGTTGCTAAGTCCATGCATGATAAAGTATTTTTTTCATTGGGTCTGTTATATAAGGTTATAATTTTGAAGGCATTAGTATTGATGTTACAGTAATTTCCACACAATCTGATCATGTTCCACAGTCTTTGAGTGGAGGCAGCTGAGATCTGCATGAGAGGAGCAGGTGTGTTCTGCACAGCTCCTGATAGTCCAAAATAACTATGACCAATTAGTTAATGTAATCTGTACCTATTGGTATCAAATGATAAACTACTTTGTTATGCAATTCATTAAGACTCATAAATGGTCTATGCTCTGATTATGAGATAGGCTCCAGGTTCAGGATAGAAAATGATACATTAGGGGCTCTTGTGGTGTAGTAATAGTGTTCGTACCTCTGAGGCAGGAGACCTGGGATCAAGAACCACCTGCTGTAGACTGTGTAATGACATCTCTGAATAGGTTGATTAGAAGATGTCTAGAGAATGAAAGATTGGTGGCAGCAAACTATCCAAACTAGAATATGAGCAGTGAGCAGTGGTATCAATGTGAATTTCATTTAGAGACCCCTGCCACTCCCTTGGGTTCTGTGGAGAAAAAAGTAAGAAAATATTCCTTCAAGAAAAGTGAGTTTACTACTTGAAGTGGAGAATACATACACAGTCAGCAACTGAAATGTGAATATCGACAAACTGTCAGCAACAGTCATGGGAGCTGTAATCCAAAGCACTAAGATGCTAGTAAGAGGCACAGAGAGAACAATGTAGGCTAGGAAAAGAAAAAAAAAGCCAGCTATACTGAGAAGAGAATGAAATCTTAAGAAGGAGGCTCTGTAGGGAATGGTTGAAGTAACGTTAGAGATGCCTGAGGGAAATGCAAAGACCAAGCAGAGAGAAAAAGGGAATGAAAAAAACATTGTCACTGCTCAAAACCAAACATTGCTGTCACTGTGCTTAGACTCCATAATTAGAATGTCCCCAGCTCATGGATAATACACTAAGTTGTGAAGTGCCATATCTTTTCCATCAGCATGCTTCAGGCTTTCCACAATAGGTAGGCACTACAGATTCTGGGATATCAGAGATACAAGAATTGCAGATGCTGGAGTCAGAGTCAACACAGTGTGGAGCTGGAGGAACACAGCAGGTCAGGCAGCATCAGAGGAACAGAAAAGTTGACGTTTTGGGTCGGGACCCTTCATCAGAATTCTGGGATATGTTTGGAAATACATAATAAAACTTTGATACAAACTGATAAGATTTCTTTGGAATTTTGATTCTTGTTACTTTGCTTTCTGGGGGCTACCTGCACTGATTTTATTTACTTTGATTATTTTAAAATAATGGAGAAAGGAATATTGGTGACAGAAAATTACCCAAACCAGAATAAGATAGGGTTGTGGAAGAGTGGGCAGCCACAGTACTGAACAAGAGTTTCTTCACTGGCTTTTCATTTATTCAGGCTACAATGACAATCATGGCAGTGTTTGATTTCGAAGTCTCAACTTTTTAAAGGAACATCTACTGTGCACCTGACCCCACAAACTAACTGAAAAATTCAAAGCAGACCCTGATCAATGGCCCTAACTGGATTTTTAATTATCTTAATGAATTATCTTCCACTTCTGGGTAGATAGCCATTCCTCATCATATCCGACTTCCAGGAACATGATTGGGAGTCAGGACCATGATGGGGAACCAGCGCTCCAATTAGTATCAGGAAATTTCACACCTATCCCAACACAAGGACCAAAATCCTGCCCCATGTAACTGTTGGATCTATTTAATCAAAACCATTCATTTCTAATAATTTATTATAATTCACCTATTTTGTGATGAATATGTCACACATTCAGACATAATTACTTTAGCTTCATCTTTATATTTTCCTGCTGTCACTTTGGAACACTTTGAAGCTGAAGGCAATGTACTCATGAAAAGAACGGATTAAATTTTAGCATCTGTCTATTCAGAATCATCTATTTTTCTGCTCCTATTCTTCCAGCTGATATGGGACCTTGTAGTGTATGAATTTGATTCCAGAATGTTTCGCAGGAGTTTAGAGAATTGTGGTTTTGCGGGAGGATTTTCACTCAGCTCTAGATTGTTGTTTTCCTTATTTATATAACACCCGAGTTTGAAAAATTGGTGACATTAATAAGAATACTTTACCGAAACAACAGCAACTCCAACAACATTCTCATCAAGGAGAACCTCACAAATTACCCAGTAAAATATCATAATAAATAACATCACTATACTCAACTATGTTTTTGCAATGATATTTTCATCTTCTCCAAATTTCCTGTTCTTGGTCAACCACCGACAGATTAAAGATAACACAAGAAATGTTCCAAACACAGTTTAGATCTGTTACCATTTGAAAAGATGGGTCAATTCTCAAATTGAAAACCCTTCATCTGAGCGTGGAGTCTGAAGATAAAGATGGTTCAATGTAACAGGTATAATTCAAAACATGGGACTGCTGACACCTTTCCTGCAGAGGTTGTAAATTTGGTTGCAACCTATGTATGAGTATTCAGATGGCTTGAAATGGATGAGAAATTGCCAGTGGTGATATTATTCAATGAGTGATGGGCATTTTTTTCTGTATTCTTTTCATGGAATGTAGGTGTTGCTAGAAAGACCCTTGTTTGCTGTCTATCCCTAATGGTTTTTGAACTGGCTAGTTTGCTAGGCCATTTCAGAGGGCTGTTACAAGCTAGATTGAGTCAGGATGGTACATTTCCTTCCCTAAAGTATGTTAGTGAACGAGTGGGTTTTTACAACAAAGAAAAGCTCTCATGGTTACCATCACCGAGCCAAGCTTTATATTCCAGATTTATTAACAAAAGTTAAATCCCACGAGATACCATGTGGGTTTTGAATCCATTTCAACCAGAGCTTTAACCTGGGACTCTTGTTAGTGAAATCAGTAACATTACCACGACAGTACCATCTCCATGAAGCCTGAGCAGTCCTTTCCTATTCCAAACAATCATTCCTAAAGGCTTACACCTCATGTGATTAGAAATGAAAATATGCATTCAATCTCCTTTAAAGTGTATCAGAGACTTAACAGGACAGATAAATGTAATGTGTCTTTTGTGTTTGACTAGTTGGTATTCGGGACAATCAGTTACAGACTTTGCACCAAATGGAACTGGCCTCTGTATAAGGGCTCATTCCAAAGTGGTTTGGAAATTGTTTCTTTCTCTCTTCTGCAGCTGGTAACAGTCCCTGTGAAGCCTATATCTGTGAGTGCGATCGGCAGGCAGCTATGTGCTTTGCTGAAGCCCCATACAATGAAGATTATAAACATCTGGACACAGAGAAGCACTGCATCTAAAACAGTACACTATCAAATGGTGAAAGAGAAAAATAAAGCTTGATCCCACTTAGTTTTCTATTCCATTTCTTTGTATACAGTAAAGCCTACTCAGACACTCCAGGAAGGTTAACAGTTTCAAGATCTCAAAATAAAACTGAGAAGCAGCCCTGAATAAACCCAAGACCTCTGATAATGGTGACTTGAATTTCAGGACTTTTACTTTAGTTTGTGCATCACATTCCATATTTCAGTTTAAATTTATACAAATACTGTTCCCAGAGAACTGATGCAGTTCCAAAATAAAGAGTTCTCAACTATGCAGTATAACTACTATCGACTCACGCCAAACTCGGAAAAGCCAGAATGAATGAAAGATGCTATTTTGTGTAGGCTGCTGTCTGGCTTGCCATGTGACTCACTGCGATGTATTTCTAGCCTGAGTTCTATTTTGAAACATTTCTGAAGATGCATTACAGCCTGAAACTATCAAATCATCTATATGATGCTGTTAACTACCAGTTGAAAATTCTTGAAAGTCGTGCATTTGGTTATTTCTCCAATATAAGCTGATTTTCAGAGGCCAGGACATATAATTATTGCATTTCTATGCAACACACAGAGATTGAGCTGTCATGTTATTGTGGAAGATGTGAAGAGAGAATAAAATAATTAAAATAAAGGGATGGAAGGAAAAAGGAATAGTGAGGATTAGGTATATATAGAAAGAAAGATTTACATTTGTATGGCACCTTTCATAACTGCAGGAGTTTACAGGCAATAAGGTATTTTTGAAGTGTGGTCACTGTTGTAAAATAGAAAATGCAGCAACCAATTCGCATACAGCAAGCTCCTGCAAACAGTAAATAAATTGATCATCAGGTAATGAGGGCAATATTCCTTTAACACTTTTGTCCATTTTGACCCACATTAACAAAGTATATTTGTAAAATAAATTCAGTGAAACTGAATAATCTTATATATAGCATAGCAGATTAATATTCAGAATCTGCAATTATCATTCTAAAGATTTCATAAACATCACCAGGAACAAGTCAATACCTTCCTGACACCATGTTTAGAAATTGATTAAGCAACAAATACACATTAACTATATTAAGTACTTATAATTTGTTGTGCACCACAGAAGCTGATTGAACACTTCAGGCCATGTTGTTCCAAGACCCCTCAATACAAAACTATAATTCCCCTACGCTTTTACTGCTGGGCTTTACTGAGGTAAATTAGCCAGGGGGTTCCGCAACAAGTACTCTGGTAACACTGGCCATTTGTGTTTGTATGGGGGTTTGCACCTAAGCTGTTTTGAGATCGATCAGCTTCTCCCTAAAGACTGTTCAATCTGTATTGGTATGTAAGAGAGAGCACAAAGCCGATTGTTAGCTGGAAATTACCATAAAGAAAGACTAACAGGTCGGGACCCTTTTCTCCAGAAAAGGAAAGCCTGAAAGTGTGGCCTAATAGATGTTTTTGAAATTATGAGTTTGATGGCGTGGACATAAAGAAAACATTTCCACTTATGTAGGACACTAAATGTAGGGGGAATGAATAAAGACAGCTGCTATCAAATCCAATAGGGAATTCAGGAGAATCTTCTTTAACCAGTGTGTGTATGGTTAGAATGTGACATTTACTACCACATAGTGTCGTCAAGGTGAATAGCATTGATAAATTTAACGGAAAGCTAGATAAACACATGAAGCAGAGAGGAACAGCAGATTATACCGATAGGTTAAGTGAAGGATCGCAGAAGGGCCCTCATATGAAGCACAAACCCTGGTACAGAACAGTTAGGCTAATCAGAGATCAGTTAGGCTAATTGCCTGTTGTCAACTTATGGAAATCTAAATCGGGAAGGTGGTAGTATAGCGATACTGTCACTGGACTAGTCATCCAGAGACTCAGTCTAATGTTCTGAGCACACAGGTTGGAATCTCACCATAGTAAATGATTACATTTGAATCACTGAAAATCTGAAATTAAAAACAAGCTTAATGGTGACCATGTATCCATTGTTGATTGTAGTAAAAACGCAGCTGGTTTACTAATGTCCTTTTGGGAAGGAAACCCATCATCCTCACCTGATCTGGCCTACAGGTCACTCCAGGCTGACGGCAAAATCGTTCACTTTTAACAACTCTCAGAATTGGCCTTACCAAGCCACTCAGTGCAATTAGCAACAAGGATTGGTAATAAATAGTTACTCAGCCAGCCATGTGTACATTCCGTGAATGAAGTTTTTTTTAGCTTGGACTGGGGAACTACTCTCATCCTCCCTCTCCACACTTTCCCATCATCAGATGCACTACTTTAAAATAAATCAAAAAGGACACAGAAACATAGGAATTGCTTGATGAGAGGCCCACTTGGTTTGCCTTTTACCATCTGGTTGGGTGTGTGATACAACGCTATGACATTAAGTATAACAAGTGTGACTCTTTCTTATTATTCAATCTTTCAGTTTCATGTCCCTTAATCCTTCTTCTGGATTTTTTTTTATTCATTCCTAAGATCTGGGCATCATTGGCAAGGCCAGTATTTATTGCTTATCTCCAAGTGACCATGTTGACGATGAGCCACTTTCTTGAACTGCTCCAGGTGGAGTTCTATAGGCGCACCACGTAGAAAAACCCATCTGGTTCACTAACCTCCTTTAGGGAAGGAAACTGCCATCCTTACCTGGTCTGGCCTACATGTGACTCCAGACCCACAGCAATGTGGTTAACCCTGAACTGCCCGCTGGGCAATTAGTGATGGGCAATAAATGCTGCCTGGTCAGCGATGCCCTCATCCCGTGAATGAATAAAGAAAAAAAAAGTGCTGTCAAGAACAGCAGAACAGGAGTAGACCATTCAGCCATCAAGCTTCTACTGTCATTTAATACAATAATGGCTGATTGAACACTTCATTGTCTTTTCTCCAAACTATTCTGTTAGACCTTCACGTCATTGGTAATCAGAAATCTAGCAGTCTCTATTTTAAACATACTCAAAGGTACAGCTTCCACAAGCCCTCTGGGATAGAATATTCCAAAAAATCACAACCCTCTGACAAAAAAGAATCCTCAATCCTAAATGGCATTCCCCTTATTTTTAAATGTGCCCCGAGTTCTAAACTCCCCAACCAGGAAAACATTTTACCTGCATCCACACTCTCTATCCTTTAAGTGCTTTGGAGGTTATCATGAGATTCCTTTCATTCTTTGAAACTCTAAGATTATAGGGACAGTTTATTCAATCTCTCATTGTAGGGCAGAGAGGTTAGGGAGAGACTTCCAGGTTTTTGATACAGTGATAATGACTTGCAGCTGATGGTGGTCCCATGTTAGTACAGCTGCTGTTGTCCTTCCAGATTGGACGTTTGGAAAGTACTGTTAAAGAAATTGTATAGCTGCAGTGCAAGTCATTGAAGGTGGCAGGGCAAGTTGAGAGCATGGTTAATAAACCAAAAGAACTGCAGATGCTGTAAATCAGGATCAAAAACAAAGTTGCTGGAAAAGCACAGCAGGCCTGGCAGCATCTGTGGAGGAGAAAACAGAGTTAACGTTTCGGGTCCGCTGACCCTTCCTTAGAACTCATGGTTAATAAATGGTTAATAAACCATTTGGTATTCTAGGTTTAATTAATAGGAGCACAGAGTACAAGAGCAAGAATGCTATGTTAAACTTATAACAGACAGAAAGTCAACCTCACCTGGAGTATTGTGTCCAGTTCTGAGTGCTGCATATTGGGAAGAATATGATTGATTGATTGCCTGTTGTCACATATGGAGATACAGTGAAAAGTATTGTTTTGCATGCTATACAGGCAGAGCGTATCATACAAACTGCATCAGGATGGCAAAATGGAGTGCAGAATACAGTGTTACAGCTGCAGAGAAGGTGCAGAGATAGAGATCAGAATTAACATTTGAAAGGTTTGTTCAAAAATCTAACAACAATGGGGAAGAAACTGTTCTTGAATCTGTTTGTACATGAAGGCTTTTAAGTGCAGAAGTGGTTGAGGTGGATGACCCAAAGAGTCTATAAATGGAATATAGACAGGTTAGGTGAGTGGGCAGAAACTTGGCAAATGGAATATAATGTGAGAAAATCTGACATTATGTATTTTGGCAGGAAGAATTGAGGAACTGAGTATTATTTATATGGAGCAAGTGACAGCGCTTAGGGATTAGGGAGTACTCATGCATAAATAACAAAACAATCTAACATACAACTTCAGTGGGTAATAGAGAAGGCAAATGGAATGTTGGCATTTGTTACAAAGGCAATTAAGTATAAAAATAGGGAAATCTTGCTTTAACTATACAAAGCACTAGTTTGATCACACTTGGAATACTGTGAAAAGTTTTGCTTCCCTTATCTAAATTCAGGTCAAGAGGAAGGCTTTTCACTAAATATCATCAATACTCATTCTTTTGGGAAATGGATCAGCTGTGGGAATAAGCATGAGTCTTATCAGTGTTTAGGGACTTAAAAGTATTTGTGCATACAGGTTAACATCTGCAAACTTTCACGGGTGTTGACTGATTTTTCACCACTAAACTAATGGGAGTGTGGGAGGGAAGGTAAAAGCTGAAACTCCAATTAGTTTGCAAGAGAGAACAGTTTGCAAATAGTCTGAGATGGGCTGATTATATTCGAGAACTCCACATTTCATTTCAAACCAGTTTTGAATTTAATTTGTTTAATCAGCTCACTAATTTCACCCAAAAGTCAAGAGTAGTGGACTATCAGTGAGGAGGACATGGAATAAATGGGTTCAAGGGACAATTATATACATTGTATTGCTGAAGTCATACTCAGACCGTCACTACAAGTGTTCATCAAGATAACGTCCTAGGCTCCTACCAACCTTAGCTACTTCATTCTGTCAAGATGTTGGAAAATCAGTTAAAATGTAGCAGGAAAATAAAAGCCATTGCTAAAGTGCTCTGAATTCAATCGGATAGACAGAAGTAGAACAATATGAAGCCAATCACTTGGTACTGGATGGGAAGGGGAGATATTGGAAGAAGATGACAAGGTCAACCATCCCAAATATCACAGAGAATGGGTGAGGGATGTAATGCATCACAACTCAATCAAGCTCCTTCCTTGAACATTTAGTATGAATCCACTTCCATACTACAGAGGTCATGTACAAGGAGCTGCAAATTCCCTTTTGATTCATTTGATGTTACATTTTCTCTGGATGGATGAACTTGTGAAAGTTCAAGCTCTCAATGGCTGCCTTCTGTCGATAGTTTAGGAAATCTTTGAGTGGTACTAATTTCCCTTTGCTTCAGTGGTTAGTAAGGTTCCTGATGACTGAGTGCCTCACAATATGACAACTCCTGTGCCTGTGCCCACAATTGCTAAATCAAACAGGAAATGCAGGACACATATTGGTAATACTCCTGACAGTTATCAAACTCATCCGGCATAGCATCAGGATTGTGAGGGCTGGTGAGCCAAGTTGGTTAGATATCTTGAATGTGATGCAGAATGGTGTCAATGGCACAGTTTCAATCCTTGTAATAAGTGTTGCCCATGCTTGTGGAGTACTGACCTGTGAGCTCCATGCAATCAATTGATGCCTATGGACCTTTGGGACTATGATGAATGAACTGGATCATCATGACCCTGCAGTGATGGACACCCCAAAATCCAAAGCTGCCATCTTGTATTAGATCCTACATACCCAAACCAAATGATGTTTATCATGAATGTTTGACTGGTAGAGTTGGTGTCAACATTGGGAAGTTCTTTGCATTGATGTCTGACAGGATGATGCAGAATACAGCCACATTGATCTACCAGCATGATCAACCAATTTACTGTAGGCTCATGGAGGTCGATATTTTACCTTAGCTCTTGTATTTGCTTTTACACAAATCACTGGTACTGGCACAAAATCCTCAACTCATGTTGACTACTTTTGTTTCAATTACAAACTGAATCTAACCAGGGTTCACCTCACATATCTGTCACCCCTGCCTTACCAATTCCCATTTCAACAGCCTTGGCACACATTGTGAAATCTTGTATCTTCTGTTATCAGGCTTCATAATATTTTTTGATATTTTAGTTTAAACTTTCCACTGTTAATTTGAGAATATTACATCTGTTAGTTACAACCAAATTACACACTCTCAAGGACAAAACAGGGACAGACTGGGGTATAAATCTAATCAGTCTGAGCAAAACATCCTTGATGTTTGGAAGTGAATTGGAAATGCGATCCTTGATCCTTGTTGTGCTGCTTGCAGGTATGTAAAAAATGATGCCCATTATAATAAAGGGAATTGGAGAATGCTGTCACTTTTCCTAGCTTTTGTGAGATCATTAAGGCATAGTGAGGATGGAATAATGTTTCAAACCATTGACAGAACATTGGAAACAGTTGTATTCTTCATTGCCATTTGTTATTGGTAGAAAAGACCAGTTTTTGAACATGGGCTTAAAGTGTTGAAAGCAGTGTTGTTCGTACCAAGTGAGTGCATGAAGTGGGCTGGATGCATTTGAAGCAGGACATATTGCTTATACTCGTTTATTTGGACGTATCTGATTAAATACACATGTGCATTAAATGTGCAATGTACAGGTGCAACTACACTATATAGAGCAGTTTTTCCCAATGTGAACCCATATTGATGCTTGAAAATAGCTGCCACCCCTCATTAAGAATAGAGTAGGGGTCTGTGAAAACAGGAATGAGATTGCAGCTGTTATAACTTGGTCCGAGCCCCACAGCTGCCATAGCTGCCTCAATGTTCAGGACACCAAACTTCAGCTATGACCCCTATTGGGGTCCTGACCCATACTTTGGGTAGCCCTGTTATAGAGTACAGCTGAAAATGTATTCATGTCTGGATTTGTACAGCCCACATATATGTCAATGTGAACTTCTAGGAACTCAGATTACAGTTTACACAAATAGAGACGGGCAGGACGGGAACAAGCTTCAAGGAGCCAGTATTTCCCTGAACACAGAGGATTAGAGTTACCTGGATATAGCAGGTGTACACATGATGTACCTTTCCCATGTTTCTCCTGTATGACGCACAATTCTTGTTTTGTGGTACTGTTGATGTGCAGCAAATTTTTACTGTAACCATCTGGTTGGGAATCAGGTTGGATTAAGGATTAGATAGAGACTGAACTGAACAAAGACTCAATGGGAATTCAGTGAATAAATCTGGAATACAAAGCTAGTCTCAGTAACAGTGACCATCATCAATTGTTGTAAAAACCAAGCTGGTTCACTAACGTCCTTCAGGAAAGAAAATCTGCCATCCTTACCTGACTATGTGTGACTCCAGACCCACAAGCAATGTGGTTGACTCTTAACTGCCCACTACAAAGGCCAAGCGAGCTACTCAGTTTAAGAGTAATCAGGGATGGGCAACAAATGATGGCCTTGCCAGTGACATGTAAGAAAATGTGGGAAACAGGGAGATTTCCTGAGATCTCCCCTCCCCCTACTGCATCCCAAAACCAGCCCAGCTCGTCCCCGCCTCCCTAGCCTGTCCTTCCTCCCACCTCAAGCCCCACCCCCATCTCCTACCTACTAACCTCATTCCGCCCCCGTGACCTGTCCATCCTCTCTGGACTGACCTATCTCCTCCCTACCTCCCCACCTACACTCACCTTTACTCGCTCCATCCCCGCCTCTTTGACTGGTCTGTCTCCTCTCCACCTATATTCTCCTCTATCCATCTTGTATCCACCTCCCCCTCTCTCCCTATTTATTTCAGAACCCCCTTCCCCTCCCACATTTCTGAAGAAGGGTCTAGGCCCGAAACATCAGCCTTCCTGCTCCTCTGATGCTGCTTGGCCTGCTGTGTTCATCCAGCTCTACACCTTGTTATCTCAGATTTCCTGAGAGCCTCTGTGAATGGATTCATGTGGTTCTCTGCTATTGACAGCCCCTTATTATCCATGAGAATCTTGCATTTTTCAGTTGTGGATCTGGTAGTCTGTTCTTTTTTGCATGCTAAGTACTCCTTCCTTCCCACCATCTACCATCTGTGGCTGAAGCAGACTGTCTGCCAACCCAGCATCAATGGAGCTCCCACCCCCACATTCATGCTAAACTAAAACCAAAACAAAAACAGAAAGTGCTGGAGAAACTCAACATGCCTGGCAGTATCTGTGGACAGATAAAACACAGAATTAACATTTCAAGTCCAGTGATCCTTCGTATCCTAAGACCACCTACTTCCACGTTTGTAATTTCTTCCAATCCCATCCCTCAGTCCTCAAACCACAGGAAATCTCATTCAGACCTTATCACCTCCAGACTCAGCTATTGCTAGTATCTCTCGGCCAATCTCCATCTTCCTCTCAGCTCACCCCAAACTCTTAAAACAAAACCTGTGGATGCTGGAGATCTGAAACAAAAACAGAATGTGCTTGAGAAACTCAGCCGGTCTGGCAGCATCTGCAGAGACAGAAACAGATCTAACGTTTCAAGTCCGGTATGACTCTTCTTCAGAATTTGTTTCTAAATATAACAACAAAAACTTATATTTATGCACCTTTAACAATATCCACATAAAATTATAAAATAAAGTTTGACAGTGAGCCACATATTCTGTCAGATGACTAAAAGATTGGTTAAAGGGGTAGGATTCAAGGAGTCTACTAAAGGAGCAAAGTGAAACCGAGAGATGTGAAATGTGGAAATGGGATTCAGAGCTTGGGACTTAGGCAGCAACTAGAATCAAGTTCAAGTGTCTAAAGTGAGAAGAGCGCAAATATCTCAGAGAGCCATGGAGTTAGAGGAGATTTCAGAGATAGGAAGGGGGTAGGCCATTAAGCACTTGAAAACAAGTTTGAGAATTTTACAATCAAGACTTTGCTTGATCAGGAGGCAATGTAGGTCAGTAAAGATGGTGTAAACAGGACGTTGTGTGAGCTAGGATAAGGGGAGTAGCATTCTGGAAGACCTCAAGTATATAGAGGTTAGAATTTGGGAGACCAGATTATTATGCATTCAAGTCTAGAGGTAATAGGGCATCAATGAGGGGTTCAGCAGCAGATGAGTTGATGCAGAGGAAAGACAAGGTAACGACAGGGGGTGAGAATAGACAGACTTAGTGACGGCACAAATATGTGAACAAAAGCTAATTTAGGGGTCAAATACGACACCGAACTGCAAATAGTCTGTCTTATTCTCACAATTGTTAGGGAGAGAGACAGAGTCAGTTGTACAGGAAAGGGAGTGGGGCCTAACAACAAGGGCCCAAATCTTCCAGTCAGTGTTGGAACCCGTTTTTCCAAGAAATGACCTACTTACCTTCCTCTTACCTTTCCGGCTGATCTTACAATGAGACATTCTTTCAAACTCAATCAGCTCAGGACTCCCTGGACAGACAGAGCTAGCTACCATATTCTAGAAAGTTAAAATCTTCCGTAACTTCTCAGTGTACTATCCTGAATGTATGAGGAGGTGAAAATGTAGGTGTCTGAGTGAGTAAGAGGGGATAGGTTGAGGGCCAAAGGCAGGTGGAGGGATTGGTGGGGACCAGAGGGAATTAGGCTGCATGGCGAAGAGTCAGGGATCAAAGTAGTTAGGGGTCAGGAGAAGAGTTAAAGGATCAGTGGGGGTGGTTTGTGTTCAGAAAGGAGATTGGGGGTATTTTGGTGGTAAGGTAAGGCCAGGTCAGTGTTGGAGGACCTACCAAGAGAGGTAGTCAGAGGGTCAGAGGTAGTTGGTGGGGATCAGTATTATAGTCACTCAGCAGTTTGACATGGTTTTAATTTGTCTAATATTTCTTGGGTAACTGCCCAGATAAGTCAGTTAAAGCTTTCCCAAATCTTCAATTCTAACTCAGAACCAGAGACATTCATGCTGGGTTCTGGGAGGTTTGGAATTGTCTGTTGGAAGTTCAACCTTCCCAGGCATTCCCACACATTCAATACCTGGACTCCAAGAGGTCTTGATATCTATCGTTGGAGTTATATCTATGACTACCATCTTCCTGATACTTAATTGGAGAAAAATTCTGCTCATCCAGTTGTGAATGACAAATAATCTGATGATTTAGTAACAGTGAATGTGTTAGGAGAGTTGGTGGGGAGGTGGAACTGGGAGCTGTCAATATACATATATAATGCTGTATTTGGAAATTATCTGAGGGGCAACATGTTGATGAGAAATAGGAAGGGGCCAGGTACAGATCCTTCAGGGACACCAGAGGTAAAGCTGGGAGCAGGAAGAGGAGCCATTGCAAATGATACACACTGGCTATGATTAAATAAATAAGAATGGAAGAAGGAAAGAGCAGTCCCACCTCGCAAATCAGAAGTGGAAAGAAACTGGTCAAGAAGGATGATAAGGGATGGTTTATCATTGTCACAGTCATGTAGGATGCTTGATAAGTACCACTTTGTTCCTATGGCAGGGGGCATAAAACTGACTGGAGAGATTGAAATGTTGAGATCCAAAAACATATATAGACACAAATTCAGTAGGTTGACACTACAACTTTGAAGAAAAAGGGAAGGTTGGAGATGGGACAATAGTTTGGAAGGACAAGGCATGGTTCAAAGATTGTGTAAGGGAAGGGATAATGACAGTAGATATAGGGGAGGGAAGGACAATACCTGAGGAAAGGGAACCATTAACAATACCGGCGAATATGGGACTGGGAGTGGAGATTGGGTGGTCAGCAGTTAAGTGGAAATAGAGATGAGGGAGCAGGAGATGAATCTGATGGACAGATTGAACTCAGAGACAGCATGAGGGGAACTATGGCAGAGAAATTAGAGAAAGGTGTGAGTTCAGGTTAAAGTGGGGAGCTTCAAATAATATTTGGCCTAGTAAGCAATTGGAAGGTGGGGTAGTGACTGAGACTACTGATCAGATGATCTTGATATTGATGACAAAGAAGTCCTTGAGTACCTTATACTTACTGTTGATGTCAAGGGAGAAGAATCTAAAAGAAGGTTCTGTTATTGTAACGGTCAGTTTTCATTGTGGCTCACTTGCTGAATTACCGTTAACAGTCTATCAATTAGTTCTTAACGATTTGAAACTAGACATTACTATTTGCTTAGCAGCACGTAAAATATTTGTAAAAGATTCTTTTTCTGCAACTGTAATCAATACTTATCCATTTAATGTGAAATGATTAATATCTCTGTTAAAATAATAGATACAGGGATGTCATAACAATACATTTTGTGCTGTCTTATGATATTGCAAGCAAGCTTCCAGATTCTGGACGTGAAAAATAAATGATTAACAGGTGATTATGTTGTGAGAAAACATGTACTTGCTTTAAATATCGTCAGCATTCATACAAGCTTCCCTGTATAGCCCAAGCTTCTTAATCGTGGGCTGGCAGTATGTTCTCAATTGCAGTCTAATGTGCCATTCTGCATGATTTCTATTGAAGTCCTGAATAATGTCAATGACTTAACAATGTTTCAATAATTGTGCCCCACTGTTCCATAGCTATCACAAAATGTATAAATGTATAGAATCCAATAAGACGAACAAAATGACCCATTTAGCTGGCTGACTGCTACTCAGGACAAAAACAATTCATACCAGGTTTCATCAACAACAGGGAAAGAAAACTATTTATTGTAACACATATAACTTTAACAACAGCAGTGAAAAGATTTCTAATTTATGCAACTTAAACTAGACCCCTTCAAAACCATATACAGACTGAAGGAACTCCTGTGGTGCAGTGTTAGTGTTCCCTACCTTTGAGCCAGAAGGCCTAGGTTCAAGGCCCATTAAGAGGTGCTTCAGAGGTGTGTCATAACATATCTGAACAGTTGATTTAAAGATATCTACACACACATTCAATCATGATTAAGACAGACAAAGACAAATGGCTTAACCCATATACTATGAGTGGAAAAATAATATAGAAAGGGTAAACAAAATTTAGATGATCAAATGTCCACCACAAGGTGGAAAATTATTTTCTCACAATCTTTTCGATTTCCTCAGTGGGGACAGACTGTTGTCTGTAAGATGATGGTCATTCTTTGGTTTGATGGTTGATCAGGTGGACCTAGCTCTATTTTGTGTATGAATTCTTTCTTTTAAGCTTTCTTAGTTTTCTGTCTTTTCTGGATGTTTCCTATCCCCTGCTGCTCTTGGCACTTACAGCTTTTTAAATCACTCTGCAGCTCAACCAATCAGAGAGCTGTTGTCAGGCAGAATCCTTGATTCAAAAGACTCTTGGTGCCACTCAGTCTCGAATTTTCCCTCTTACTCCTTTAAAAAGGAAAGACTTGTGTTGCACAGCTCAACAATATATGCAGCGTTTGATTTTCAAGTAGCAAAATGTGCCTGGTATTCCAGTTATAGCAGTCCAACTTCCATTTCAGATTGTAGTCCGAATAAATGAAAAATATGTGGTCTCTTACAAGCTATCTGTTGAGAAAATTTACTTCATTATCTACAACTCACCTATTTTCATCTGTACCTCCGTGGAAACAAAAGACTGACATTAATTTTCATTCATTTTGGTGAAAAGATTTACTGTAAGTTAGAAGGAATCAAAAATGGCTTGGTTGTCAACTTAAACATGAACAGCTGCCAGTTTTAAAAAAATTTAATATTTATTTGTGTCTCTCCACAGTTGTTGCAAGTGCGAACATTTCACCTCGTGCTATATGGCAGTTCAGGAAGATGATTAAATGTGTGATTCCAGACAGTTCTCCCATTTTGGATTTCAACCATTATGGATGTTACTGTGGATTTGGTGGTTCTGGAAAATATGTTGATGAATTAGACAAGTAAGTCCATTAATACCAATATTTCATAGTCGATATCTTGTGGGTTGCTGGCTATTGGGTTTTTAAAAATTCATTCAGGGTATGTGGGCTTTGCCAGTTGAGCCAGCATTTATTGCCCATCCTTACTTGCCCTTGAGAAGGTGGGGTTGAACTGCCTTCTTCAACACAAGGAGTATTTAAGGTAAGGCAGATGAGCTCAGATGTACTGGATCAATACATGGGGCTATGATGTTGTGGCTATTACAAAGACTTGGTTGAGAGAGGGGCAGGACTGGCTGCTCAATGTTCCAGGGTTTTGTTGTTTTAGACGAGATAGAGAGGAAGGTAAAAGAGGTGGAGAAGTTGCATTACTAATCAGGGAGAATGATACATCTGCTCTCAGAGAGGACATGCTGAAGAGCTCATCCACTGAGGCAATATGGGTACAGCTCAAAAATAAGATGGGTGCACTCACTCCGATTGTATTATACTAGAGGCCTCCCGACAGCCACCGAGAGATTGAGGAACAAATATGCAGGCAGATTGCAGAAAGGTGCAATAAAAACAGAATTGCTGTAGTGGGTGACTTTAACTTCCCTGGTATTGACTGGGACTCCCTTTGAGAAAGAGGCTTAGATGGGGCGGGATTTGTTAAGTGCATCCATGAGGGTTTCTTGAAACAGTATGTGGATAGTCCAACTAGAGGAGGGGCCAATCTGGACCTTGTATCGGCTAAAGAGCCTGGCCAAGTGACTGACCTTTTAGTGGGACAGCATCTTGTTAACAGTGATCAAAATTGCTTAAGTTTTAAGGTAGCTATGAACAAGGATAAGTAAGGACCTTGCAGAAAGGAACTAAATTGGGGAGGCAATATCCTAGTGGCATTATCGCTGGACTGTTAATCCAGAGGCCCAGCTAATGTTCTGGGAACCTGGGTTCGAATCCTGCCATGGCAGATGGTGGAAACTGAATTCAATAAAATATCTGGAATTAAGAATCTAACAATGACTATGACCCCATTGTTGATTGTCGGAAAAAACCCATCTGGTTCACTAATGTCCTTTAGGGAAGGAAACTGCCATCCTTACCTGGTCTGGCCTACATGTGACTCCAGATCCACAGCAATGTAGTTGACTCTGAACTGCCCTCTGGCAATTAGGGATGGGCAATAAATGCTCCTATCAGAAATGCCCTCATCCCGTTCATGAATAAAAACAAAATTGAGGAAGGGCAAATTAAGTCAGTATTAGGCAGGAGCTAGGGAGTGTTAATTGGGAGGAGCTATTATCAAGCAAGTCCACTTTGACATGTAGGAACTATTTAAAGACCTGCTGGGGACAGTTCAAGACTGGCATGGTCCAGTAAGGAGGAAGGATAAGGATGGAAAAGTAAGGGACCCTTGGATAACAGGGGAGGTTGTGTATTGAGTCAAAATGAAAAAAAGTATATATAAGGTTTAGGAAGCTAAAATTGGACAGGAAAGCAGGAAAGTACTCAAGCAGGGAACTAAGAGAACAAGAAGCATGAAATGACCTTGGCAAGTAGGGCTAAAGAGAATTCCAAGGCATACTAAAGATACATTAAAAACAAGAGGATGACTAGGGAGAAGGTAGGACCACTCAAAGATAAAGGAGGGAACTTGTGTTTGGAGGCAGAGAATGTGGGAGAGATCCTAAATGAGTACTTTGCATCAGTATTCACACAGGAAAAGGAAATGGAGGATAGCGAGATTTGTGTGGAGCATGTTAATATGCTAGGGCATTTTGAGATCAAGAAAGATATGGTGTTGGATCTCTTGAAGAGCATTAAGGTAGGTAAGTCCCCAGGGCTGATGGTATCTACCCCAGGTTATTGACAGAGGCAAGAGAGGACATTGCTGGGGCTTTGACCAAGATCTTTGTATCCTCACTTGCCACTGGAGAGGACCTGGAGGACTGGCAAGTAGCTAAAGTTGTTTCTCTGTTCAAGAAGGGAAATAGGGATAATCCAGGAAACTACAGACCAGTCAGGCTCACATTGGTGGTTGGGAAGCTATTGGTGAGAATTCTTCGGGATAGGATTTACACACTTTTGGAAAAACATGGCCTAATTAGGGACAGTCATCATGGCTTTGTGCAGGGCAGGTCATGTCTTACTAATTTGATTGAATTTTTTTGAGGAGGTGATGAAGGTGATCGATGAGGGTAGAGCATTGGATGTTGTTTACATGGATTTTAGTAAGGCTTTCAACAAAGGTTCCTCATGGTAGGCTCATCCAGAAGATTAAGATACATGGGATCAATGGAGACTTGGCTGCATGGATTCAGAATTGGCTTGCCCATAGAAGGCAGAGGGTGGTGTGGTGGAAGGGTATTTTTCAGGCTGGAGGTCCATGTCTAGTGGTGTTCTGCAGGAATCCGTACTGGGACCTCTGCTGTTTGTGCTATATATAAATGACTTAGATGAAAATGTAGATGATACAACTCGGTGGAGTTGTGCATAGTGTAGAAGGTTGTCAAAGGATACAGCGGGATATAGATCAGTTGCAGATATGGGCTGAGAAATGACAGATGGGGTTTAATCTGGGTAAATGTGAGGTGCTGCACCTTGGGAGAATGAATGTTAAGGAAAAGTATACAAATAATGGCAGACTCTGAACAGCACTGATGTACTGAAGGGGGTTCAAGTCCGCAGCTCCCTGAAAGTAGCCATGCACATAGATAGGGTGGTAAAGAAGGCGAATGACATGCTTGCCTTTATTGGTTGGGGAATTGAGTACAAGAGTCAGAATGTCATGTTGTAGCTTTATAAGACTTTGGTTAGACCACATTTAGAGTATTGCATTCAATTCTGGTCACCACATTACAGGAAGGACGTGAAGGCTTTGGAGAGGGTGCAGAAAACGGGTTGTTTTCCTTGAGTGGCGCAGGCTGAGGGGAGACTTGATAGAAGTCTATAAAATTATGAGATGCATAGATAGGGTTGAAGTCAGAATCTTCTTCCCAGTGTTGAAATGTCTAATACTATGGAGCATGCATTTAATGTTAGAGGGGGAAAGTTCAAAGGGGACATGAGGGGCACGTTTTTGTTAACATAGAAAGTGGTAGAGTCTGGAACGCACTGCCAGGGCTGGTGGTGGAGGCAGATACAATAGGGGTGTTTAAAGGACTTTTAAGGCACATGAATATACAAGGAATGGAGGGATGAGGACCAATGGCAAGCAGAAGGGATTAGTTTCATTTGGCATCGTGCTCGGCACAACATCATGGGCCAAAGGACCTGTTCTTGTGCTGTACAGTTCTATGTTCTTGAATCGCTGAAGTCCATTTGATGTAGTTACACACACAGTACTGTTAGGGAGGGAGTTCCAGGATTTTTATTGAGTTGCACTAGTCCAGCTAGTGGACAATATTCTAATACACTCCTGACTTGTGCCTTGTAGAGGGTAGAGAGTTTTGGGGCAATCAGGAGGTGAATTACCTCCAGGGAATTCCCAATTCTTTACCTTCTCTTTTAGTCACAGCATCTGTATGACTAGTCAAGTTCAGTTTTTAGTCAATGGTAATCCTCATGATGTTTATATTGGAGAATTCAGCAATGGTAATGACAATAAATGTCAAAGGGAGATTAGATTCTCTCTTGTTGCAGATGGTCATTGCCTGGCACTCGTGTGACCTGAATATAATTTACTACTGTTGTGTAATTTTGGGACCTTGGCCACTATTTCCATAAAGTTTAATTAGTTATAAAATTCTCAATAATAATCAACTATAAAATTTTCTCACATCTCTTCTAAACTCTGCACTTTACAATTCAGAAATCTAATTGCTTCCTCAAAGTATTCCAGTAGATTTACAAGATGCCACTGTGAGATGTTGCTTAGAAAACAAGGCACTATACAGCAAATTTTGTGCCATAAGAGTGGAGCACTTAAAGATAAGAAATAAAATCAACCATGAGGGGCTAAAATATCTTTTTAACAAAGTTCATTAAGTGACCGGACATTTGGATGAAGCAAACTTCCACGGACTTTTACCAATGTGTTATACCTGACATGAATTTATAGAATATCCAGAACTAAAGAAATTAGAGGATAGCCAATAGTGCAAAGAACACTCAAGTCACAGTTCTTTGATTATCCACAAAGCCTCAATGTATCCTAATATGCAAATCCGTTGATATGCTTTGCTCCTGCACAAAATTCATCATTTGGGTGAGGAAAGATAGTTTCCATTTCAATTTTGGGGCCCTGAATTTCCTGTTGGATTTCTCCCCACCCCCTGGAGTGATTGGCAGGAGCTCTAGATAGACTGCATAAAAAACAACTTGCATTTACGTAGCACGTTTAATATCGTACATTGAGACAGAGACTGAGATATTAGATGATCAAAAGCATGCTAGGAAATAGGTTTTAAGGTGGGTCTTGAAGGAGGACTGAGTGGTGGAGAGTAAAGAAACTTCTCCCAGTGTCCTGAGCAATGCTTACCACTCAAACTTAAATTCACTCGAACAGATTTACTTGGTCATAATGTGCATAACATTGTGGATCTTCCTGTGCATAAATTGGCCATTGCAATTCCTATAACCATAACTACACTTTAAAAAGAAGCACTTACTTAGCTGTAAAAGCGCTTTAGGATGTCCTTGGAGTAAGAAAACCAACATATCATGCAAGCTATTTCTGTCTTTAACCAAGTGTATGAAATAGAGGCAGAAAACTCTCCCATTTATCAGGTATCTCTGTTGCACAATGTTTGGTTACATTAGTGTAACTTAGAAATACGCAAAATGTCAGTACTCCTAAAGGTGCAGGAAATATGGCGTGGACATCTCCTCAGGCCTGTCGTCATATTATCAATGAATGATAGAGAATTCATTGTGAATTACCTGATGCAACGAGTCAATCTCCATGCAACTATTCATTCCACTGTTACTAATACCATACCCAATCACTTTTTCTTTCCATTCTAGGTGCTGCCTGAATCATGATAACTGCTACCACAAGGCAAACGAGCAATGCAGAGATTATGTAGATAGCCCATACATTGAACATTATTCTTATTCTTGCTCTGGGACAGAAATCACCTGCAGCAGTAAGTATCCAAGTATTAAATTTCTATGGAAATTTTTGTTACCAATCTTCAGTGATGACATGTTGAACACATGTTAAACATATCTCTGATGTTGCAAAACAAAAACAGGGTTATAGTTTACCAAACATTTGTTCTTACAAACCTGGAGAATGCAAATTGTATGTGGGATTCTTACATGGTGAGAGATTTTTTAAACTTCATTCAAGGAACATGGGCATCAGTTGACTAACCCTAATTGCCTAGAGGCAGTTAAGAGTCAACCATGTTGTTGTGGTGTGGAGTCACATGTAGGCCAGACAAAGATGGCAAGTTTAAAATTGATATTAATAGATTTTTTTGTTAATCAATGGTGATTAAGACTAGTATGTGGACTTAGGCTGCAGACCAGCCTGTGATCTTACTAAATGGCAGGACATGCTCAAGAGGCTAGATCCTTATGTTTCAGTGTTCCTATAACTGACCTTTATAGGATAGAAGAATCGACAGATGCCAAGACATTTTTTTAATTACAACCGGTTATTTCCCAAGATAGATCAGTAGTTTCAGGTAGCCAATTGGAGGAATACTTTGTCACTTTGTTGATGGTTCTTCAGAAGATATTGGAAGAAAAATTAGTGAACAGATTTCAAATTTCTTTTTAATATATATAAAGCACTTAAATAACTGTGTCCACATGTAAAGAACACAGACAGTTCAAACAGTACTGATTCTGCACTTGTTGCAACTTTTCTCATTTTCAAATTATAACTCCATCTGCCATTTCACTACCCAACTTTCCAACTAATCTATATCATGCTGTATCCTTTGATAACCGTCCTCGCTAGCCACAATTCCATCAACTTTTGTGTCATCTGCCAACTTATTAATCAAACCACCTGTGTTTTCATCCAAATCATTTATGTATATTGCAAACAATAGAGGTCCCAGCATTGATCCCTGCAGGATACCACTGACAACTTGTCAGAAAAACACCTCTCTACAACTACCCTCTGTTTCCCATGACCAAGCCAATTTTGTGTCATATTTGCCAACTTACCATGGATCCTATACAACTTAATCTTTTGGACCAGCTACCATGAGGGACCTTGTCAAATGACAGTTAGAGAAGTTTAGGGAAGGAATACCAGAGCTTAACGCTTTGGTAACTGAAGAATTAGCTACTGATGGCGATGTTCAAAGTACATCAATTAGTGTAGGACAGATGACTGGCAGGGTTGTGGAGTTGGAGGTGATTACAGACATAGGAAGGGCAAGAAACATGGAGGGATTAGAAAACACGCATGAAAATGTTTTACTAAAGCATCACTTAACTGGTAGTCAAACAGTTCAGAGAGCACAGAGGTAGTGGGGTGAATGGGAAATGGTATAAGGATGTAATCTGCAGAGTTTTGGATCACCTCAAGTTTAAGCAGGATAGAATGTGGGAGAGCAGCCAGGACTGTGTTAGAATAGTTAAGTCTAGAGGTAACAAACACATAAATGAGGGAGAAGCACTGAAGATGCCAGGATTCCAGGTAGGCATGCAGACGCTCTCTGAAATTTTCCGTCCATAAAAGGATACAATTCTAAACTCGGAGCAGGTGCAGTGAGACTTAGGAGACTGGAGTTAAGTGTACCCAAATCAAATTCAAACTGCAGTTGAATAAAGTATGTGGCTCCTATGTTTTATTAAGAAGAGACATAGGGTACAAAAGTAAGAAATAAACCACTATAAAATACTGGCTTGGCCTCAACTGTCTGTTCTGGGCAAGTGACTTTGTGAAGGTATTAGAGAAAGCATGGAAAAGATTAACTGGAATGGTTCCAAGGATGAACAACTTTAGTTATGGTAACAGATTGGAAAAAATTTGTCCTAGTTTCCCTGGAGAAGACATGGTTGAGAAGAGATTTGTTGGAGATTTTCAAAATCAGGCATCTGGAAAGAATAGATAGAGAGAAAATGCACCTGTTAGTGGATGAATTGATAACTACAGGACACCAGTTTAAGCTGAATAACAAAAGAAGCAATGGTGACAGAAGGAAAAATGGTTTTACACAGTGAGTGGTAAGGATCTGGAATGCACTGCTTCCAATTATTATCCACTGAAACCTACTTTGCTGTCAATCCCATCACAACACTCACCTGCTGATAGATGTGCACGTGGGTGGCCTCAGTCACAACTGTTTGGATTGCTTTGTAGGACTTGCTGAATAGGCTCATGGTCAAATGTCACTTGGATGATGAGGCACCACATGATATATATATCTGAGTCACTGGTTTTCAGGAGTATGTAGGAACATTTTAAAGAGGCATCTGCCTTCTCTTGATGACTGTGGTGATCATGTAAAAAATCTATCTTATCTTTTCCAGGCGACAATAATTCCTGCGAGAGTGATATTTGTGACTGCGATCGTACGGCAGCAATCTGCTTTTCTCAGTCTGATTATAACCCTGACCACAAAAATCTGGACAAGAAACTGTACTGCTGAAAAAAGCTCTCAAACTAGAGAGAAGAAAAAGAATGAAAGTTTTCTTCATTGTCTTGTTGTCTTTTTTGGAAATCATATCACAACCACACAGAGAAAAATGAAACTGTATTACACTGGAATCCTGATGTGCTGCTAAAATTGACCAAAATCTAAATGATTATAGAGTCATACAGTCATACAGCACGGAAACGGACCCTTCGGTCCAACCAGTCCATTCCAAACATAATCCCAAACAAAACTAGTCCCACCTGCCTACTCCTGGCCCATATCCCTCCAAACCTTTCCTATTCTGTACTTATCCAAATGTCTTTTAAATGTTGTAATTGCACCCGCATCCTTCACTTCCTCAGGAAGTTCATTCCACATGTGAACCATCCTCCGTGTAAAACATTTGCCCCTCATGTCTTTTTTAAATCTTTCTCCTCTCACCTTAAAATGTGCCCCCTAATCTTGAAATCTGCCATCCTAGGGAAAAGACAACTACCATTAACTCTATCTATACCCCTCATTATTTTACAAACTTCTATAAGGTCGCCTCTCAACCTCCTACGCTCCAATGAAAAAAGTCCCAGCCTATCCAGCCTTTCTTTATAACTCAAACCTTCCATACCTGGCAACATCTTGGTAAATCTCTCAGAACCCTCTCCAACTTAATAATATCCTTCCTATAACTGGATGACCAGAACTGGCCACAGTATTCCAGAAAAGGCCTCAACAATGTTCTGCACAACCTCAATATGACTTCCCAACTCCCATACTCAAAGGACTGAGCAATGAAGGCAAGCATGCCAAACGCCTTTTTAACCACCCTGTCTATATGTGACACAAGCTTCAAAGAATTATGTACCTGCACCCCTAGGTCCCACTGAACAATAACACTACCCAAGGCCTTACCATTAATTGTATAAGCTTGACCCTTGCTTGTTGTACCAAAACGCAATACCTCGCATTTATCCAGATTGAACTCCATTTGCCACTTTTCAGCCCATTGACCCATTTGATTAAGATCCCTTTGTAATCTCAGAAAACCAATTTTGGTGTAATCTGGCCCATCCATGATCAGTTCTGCATTGTTCTGTCTGTCCCACAAACTCTGATATAAACTATTTATGGTCCTGGATCTATACAGATGATCAGTTGATTCTTAATACATCAAAGCAAGTATACACCCGTAATTTAAATGAAAAAAGACAGAATTTATCCAAAATAACTATGCCTTCTATATTTTCATCCAAATCATTCATATAAATGACAAAAAAAAGAGGACCCAGAGCTGATCCCTGTGGAACACTGCTGGTGACAGGTCTTCAGTCCGAAAAAGAGCCCTCTACCACCACTCTCTGTCTCCTGCCATTAAGTGAATTATGTATCCAATTGGCAAGCTCATTCTGAATCCCATGTGACCTAACTTTACTAATTAGTCTACCATGCAGAACCTTGTCAAAGGCTTTACTAAAGTTCAAGTAAACAACATCTACTGCTCTGCCTTCATCAATCTTTTTGATGACTTCTCAGAAAACTCAATCAAGATTGTGAGACATGATTTTCCTTGCACAAAACCATGCTGACTACCCCTAATCAATTTTTGCCTCTCTAAATGTCCATAAATCCTATCTTTTATAGTCACCTCCAACAATTTACTCACAACCGATGTCAAACTCACAGGTCTATAGTTCCCTGGTTTCTCCTTACAAGCTTTGTATGACCAACCGATTAATCCTGTACAAGATAGCAGTATGTACTCCAGATGCCATTATGTTGGATATACATTGCCAATTCCACATTCTTTCCTGACCTAATACAGATTCCATGATCCATGATCCTTGACTATTGATTCATGATCCTGGATCTAATCTGATTATCCTTATTGGCACAGTATGAAACCTATTGTCTGCAATGGACAGATCTGGCCCATCCATGATCAGTTCTGCATTGTTCTGTCTGTCCCACAAACTCTGATATAAACTATTTATGGTCCTGGATCTATACAGATGATCAGTTGATTCTTAATACATCAAAGAAAGTATACACCCGTAATTTAAATGAAAAAAGACAGAATTTATCCAAAATAATCACTAGAAAAAAGTAGTAAGGAAATCAAACAGCACAGTGCAGCAGCACCCTGCACATTTTTCACACACCCCAGTTAGTAGTGCCTTGAGACATTTTTCTATAATTCACAATTCTAATGTATCAAAACTACTTTATTAAGCTAGTTCTATCATTTCTGGCCCATTTGAAAATTCACGAGCTTTGTATCAAATTGTGTTTTCGTGCTTAAATGCTTATGGGGGTAAATAACCCGGTACGCAGGTGGGATTAAAAGTCACCCTTCTGCCTTCAAGTAGACAGCAAAGTCAACATTTAGGGTACAAATAAATCAATTAACAAAGGTTCCAAAATGTTGAATTTAATTCTGTTTCCATTCTTTTGTAGCAGAAACAACTTAGTGCTAAATTAAAAGGAAAGTACAATTTGCATAAACCAATTTGGATATCGCAATAATTTTGTAAGTGGGCAAAATAAACATAACCAGTAATTCTAGTACGCAATCATCCTTAATGAATCGCAAGGTGAAAATGGACAAGTCCAGCAGATGAATGGTCGGTGAACATATTTCAAGACATATACACTTTGTACTAAATAAATGTGCCAGCAGTTTAGTGATTTGATGACAAAATAGCATAATTTATAAAAAGCACCTGCTTGACTTCTTTTGAAGGAAATGTCAGAAACTCTGCATTACTTTGACAAGATTCTACAACATGTTAATGAAACAGAAACACCATGGCTTGACGATTCGATGAAACAAACTTTCAAAAACAGACAATCAATGTTTTGAAGTAAGTGTGAACAATTGTAATTGCAGGTTACTTCATTCAGGGGAGCACAAGGCAGCACTGATGCAGTCATCAATATAGCAGAGAAAGAGGTGAGGGCTGTGCTTGTTTAGTTGTGGAAGAGGAACTGTTCCAAGAATCCCAGAAAGAGGCAGGCAAAGCTCGGCTCCTTGTGGGTGCCCATGGCCACCCCTTTGGTTTGTAGGGATTGGGAGGAATCAATGGAAGAATTTTGAGGGTGAGGACCAGTTCTGCCAAGGGAATGACAGTGTCAGTGGAGGGGGACTGGTTGGGCCTATGGAGGAGGATACCGGTGTAAAAGGACTGTACATTATGGTGAAGATGAGGTGTTGGGGGCCAGGGAACTGAAAGTTTTGGAAACGGTGAAGGGCATGAGTTTAAATTTCCAGCTTATCGCGCAAACAAGACCTTATTGTTTTTTGCAATTGAAAGTAAATAGAGGAAATATTTACAGGTTACAAACTAAAAGAGCAGCAAATCTTTTAAAAATTAAATGAAGAACTAAGTAAATAAAATAGAGTCACAGGGCCAGCTGATATGTTGTACCTGCATGGTTTGGGAGCTGGTGGACCCCACTGTGATTTGTTATAACCCATCTGTAGTACAGAACACACAGAACACAGAACAGTACAGCACAGTACAGGCCCTTTGGCCCACGATGTTGTGCCGAACTTGTACCCTAAACCTAAGGTCTATCTAACCTCCACCCCTGCCTTATACTATCATCCACATGCCTATCTAATAGCCACTTAAATGCCCCAAGCATTGACTGCCTGAGGAACCCCAGCTCAGAGCTCATGAGCTGCAGTCTGAACCTTGAAAACTGCAACACATCGGGGAATGGGGGTGGAATTACCTGCACGCTGTGTTTCAGGAGGCAGTCATACCCCTTTGATGAACTATCTGGAATTCGGTCAGTGGTCAGGTAGAATATAAGAGAAGCAGATAGAGGGATCCAGGAGGTAATGCCGAAGGAGCCTCAGTGCTTGAGCTTGTCTAATGGGTTTGAGATTCTTGCTTCCTGTCTGGATGAGAGCAGGAGCTGTAGGGAGGATGAGCAAACTGACCACAGCATCATGAACAAATGAACAAACAAATGAACAAATGAAAGAGTACAGCACAAGAACAGGCCCTTCAGCCCTCCAACCCTGTGCCGACCATCATGCCCTAATTAATCTAAAAACAAACCTAGCATTTTTCGATCCATATCCCTCTATTCCCTCCCTATTCATGTACCCATCTAGATGCCTCTTAAATGTCTTCAATGTTCCCGCTTCCACCACCTCTTCTGGTAGTGCATTCCAGGCTGCTACCACTCTCTGCGTGAAAAACTTCCCTCGCACATCTCCCTTAAACTTTCCCCCTCTGACCTTGAACCTGTACCCCCTTGTAATTGAAACTTCAACCCTGGGAAAAAGCCTCTGATTATTCATCCTATCTATGTCTCTCATAATTTTGTAAACCTCTATCAGGTCTCTTCTCAGCCGCTGTCTTTCTAGTGAAAACAATCCTAGTCTTTTTAACCTTTCCTGACAGTCAATGCCCTGGGGACCAGGCAACATCCAGGTGAACCTTCTCTGTACTCTGTACATCACGGTGCACATAGTCAATCAAAAGGCGAGAGAAAAGAGAAATGTAGTTGTAATTGGGGACAGTATTATCAGGGGAATAGACACTGTTCTCTATGGCCAAAATCGAGAGTCCCAAAGGCTGTGTTGCCTGCCTAGTGCCCAGATTCAAGATATTTCATTTGGAGTGCAGTGGAATTTGCAGTGAAAGGGGAAAGATCCAGTTCTTGTGGTCCACGTAGGTACCAACAATATAGGTAGAAAGAGGAATGAGGCTCTGCTGAGAGAATATGAGCAGCGAGGAGCTAAACTGAAAAATAGAACCAAAAAAAGTAATAACCTCTAGATTACTGCATGAGCCACAAGATAACTGTCACAGGATCAACACAAACACTGACTCAAAGATTGGTGTGAGAAAAACAGGTTCAAATTCATGGACATTGGTACCAGTACAGGGGAAGGAGGGAACAACTATCCAGCTTGTGTGTGTGTGTGTGTGTGTGTGTGTGTGCGCGCGCGCATCCTATGAGGAAAACATATCAGCAAAACTGTTCTCTTGTCCAATCTGTCTAAGTAGCATAATTTGAATTCCGTGGAGGAGTTAAAACAGCAATATTTTGGATAAACCTCTATCAGACTAAATTAAAACATCATTTATGTCACAGATTTATTGCTGGCCAGGGATTCTATATGTTTTTAAACCTTATTCAACATTGCAAATATAAAAACAATTGGATAGCTCTATCAAAGTCATTCCTATTTCAGCAATTAGTCATAAGAACAATTCAAACTACCTAAATAATTTAGGATTTCTCTCTCCCTCTTCATGTAGAAGTTCCTGGGTTTCCCTAGCAGTTCTCCTAGATGCAAGGATAAAGTTTAGGATTCATCATTGAAGGGGAAAAGGCATAAACCTATGACTACCTTATCACTCACAGACATAGACCTCTTATATGCCAAAATCTTTTGGTGGTTCTAAACTCCAATCGAATTTGGTACATAAAACAGGATTCTACATTTGACTGACAACAAAAAATTAATGCCAGCATTGGGGACTGAAGATTAGCATTGCTTAATAATTAAAAGTTCCATTCAGAGGCTTTCACCTCAGTTATTAATGTTCACTTGTCTTTACACCAAAAAATGTTAACGATCCCTTGACATCCTCAGAGTTCCAATTGTGGATCTTGATCATGAAAATAATCTTGTTAATAATGGAAAATGATATGTTCATATTTTATAAAAAATACATTCAATGATCTCAAGAACATTCAGCAATTTAGAAAAATAACTACTGTTTCACACAAGGGTAATTTAGAAAAATGATTTTTATAGACATCAAACTCCACTTGTGTGCCTTAATGTTAGTGGTATTAGTAACTAAATACTCCTTAATCCAAATTAATAAATAACATCATTAGTGGCATTTATCTCAGAATTTTGCTTTATACACCTTTATTAAATTAATACAATTTGTCTTTTACCCTCAGAAATTATCAATGCCCTTTCTCAAGGGCCCACTTCAACCCATAACTCAATTCCTGTTCAGAGTCCTGGTGTTCTGGAGTTTCTGGTTATTCCAGGTTTTTCTATTTACATAATCCATCAGTACTGAACCTGACATCAGACTGCAGTCTATGTATTATGCTTGCCAATACTATGGTATACGAACCAAATGGAGGATTAACCAGTGTTATGAAATGCTGCACATTGAATTTCAACAGCAGCCAGTGGTGGAATTAATCCTGCTTCCCGAGTACTCGGCTGTAGCTTTATCCATTCCTGTATTTTTTGGAAGAAAAAAATTTGCACGTTTACATTTTTAGTTATTTTCTCCTTGTTATAAACTTAGTGGCCATTACTGCATTTTGTCCCCTCTTTAGGGGATAATATTCTTACTTTATTTCACTTACACCTGGGTTGATCACTTTAATGCCCCATTTCTGAGAAATGTTCTTCTGAAGCTCTCCTCAAGATCAATATTAAGAGGTAGAAGGAGTACTTTGCTTTAGCATTAGCTTCTTCCCACACCATCCCCACATCCCACACTCTTTATACATTTAGGAAAGAGTCAAGTGTGCAGTTTATACCTCACTGACAGAGAAAGCTGCAAACCTCAGCCCTGCTACTTCACGGTAGTATCTTCCGCTACCAAACAAGTATTGTCAAACTTTGGTAACTCAAAGATTTGCAACACATCTGTTTGAACTTGCTTAGCACAAGTACAACTAACAGTACAATAAAAATCATAACTCCAAGAATCTAGAAAGACTGGTCAACTTATCATTGAGAAAGTCATTTCAGTAATTTGGAGTCATGGAGTCATAGAGCTGTACAGCATGGAAACAGACTCTTCAGTCCAACTCATCTATACTGACCAGATATCGTAAATTAATCTAGTCCCATTTGCCAGCATTTGGCCCATATCCCTCTAAACACTTCCTATCCATGTATCCATCCAGATGCCTTTTAAATCTTGTAATTCTACCAGTCTCCATCACTTTCTCTGCTAGCTCATTCCATACATGCACCACCCTCTGCGTGGAAAAGTTTCCCCTTTTAAATCTTACCCCTCTCACCTTAAACCTATGCCCTCTATTTTTCGACACCCCCGCACCGAGGAAAAGATCTTGGCTACTCGCCCTATCCATGCCCCTCATGATTTTATAAATTTCAATAAGATCATCCCTCTGTCTCTGACGCTCCAGGGGGAATAGCCACAGCCTATTCAGCCTCTCCCTATAGCTCAAACCCTCCAACCCTGGCAAAATCCTTGTAAATCTTTTCTGAACCCTTTCAAGTTTCATAACATCCTTCCTAAGCAGGGAGATCAGAATTGCACACATATTCCAAAAATGGCCTAACCAATGTCCTGTACAGCCGCAACATGACCTCCCAACTCCTACATTCAATACACTGACTAATAAAGACAAGCATACCGAATGCCTTCTTCATTATTCTGTCTAGCTGCGACTTGACTTTTAAGGAACTATGAGCTAGCTCACCAAGGTCTCCTTGTTCAGCAACACTCCCCAGGACTTTACCATTAAGTGTATAAGTCCTGCTTTGATTTGCTTTTCCAAAATGCAGCACCTCGCATTTATCTCAATTAAACTCCATCTGCCACTCTTCAGCACACTGGCCAATCTGATCAAGGTCCTGTTGCACTCTGAGGTAACCTTCTAAGCTGTCGACTACACCACCAATTTCAGTGTCATCTGCAAACATACTAACCATGCCTCCTATGTTCATATCCAAATCATTTATATAAATGACAAAAAGCAGTGGACCCAGTACCGATCCTTGTGGCATACCGCTGGTCACAGGCCTCCAGTCTGAAAAGCAACCCTCCACCACCACCTTCTGTCTCCTATGGATGTGGGCATCATTTATAAGACCAGCATTTATTGGTGACCTCTAATTTTGCTCGAAAAGGCCATGATAAGCCATGTTTTCTTTGAGAAAGAAGAGTGGGTGTTGGGAATGGGTAGGAGGATGAAATTCTGAACTAGTAATAGTGTGATATCAAGTTAGACAGTAACAGACATGAATCCTTAACTGAAACCAATCTGCCTTCCCAGCTAAAGGTCAATGCTTTCAATTTAGAACATTTAGAACTAGTAACCTGAGAACACTTGTTATGCAAAATTCCACTAGATTCCAATGAATACTTACGGATGGTGCTGCCCTCACCAATCTTTGCAGAGGGAAAGTCATTTCTTTCCAGTTCTTTCAGTAAAGATGCTTCAAATGCCAGGGCTGCCACTCTGAAGAAGAATTCTCTCACATTTTCACCTATGGAAAGAATTATACTGCAACTTCAATTCTAATGATGTTCTCCCAATGTAATTCAAACTATTTCACAGTTTGAGTTTAATTATCTTGTATATTGATTGTACCAGCTACAGTGATTTATAAAATTAAAGTACAGTTCCATGCATCCCATACACCTTTCAGGTCACCAGCTGCAAAAGCAGAATAAATCTATTGTATACTTACTAGTCGAAATGATAGGTTCATTCCATGAACTACTATTGGTGGAGACCCATCTGGCAGCTTAAAAGTGAGGATGAGACTGAGTGAATTCAGTCTATTTTTACCAGAACTAAACTGGCTGCTTCAGTCATCTGTATCCCTTTCCCTATCACCCATTCTGTAGTTCCTTGATATTCCTTGTCTTCCTGTTACATACACCTCTGTATGTAGTTCGCACAGTTGGCTGGATGATAGTTTGTCATGCAGTGACACCAACAGTGTGGGTAAAATTCTTGTACTGGCTGAGGCCACCATGAAGGGCCCACCTTCTCACCTCACCTCTTGTCTCAGGTGTGGCAACCCTCAGGTTGAATCATTAGTTGTCTCTTTCTCTGTCTAATGGGCATGTGGGGCTATTGCAACTTTACCTCTTAGTATTCTGGCTGTGCTAAACAACCATTTTTGCTTGTCTTGAACATTCTGTACTGGTACTATCTATTTCTCAAATCAAGTTCATGCAAGGTTGCAGCACAAGAACAGAAAATCTGGCTGACTGTTCTAGCTCTTTGGCAGAATTATTCAATTAGTCTCCCTCTGTCTTGCTGTTCCCTAACAAGTTTGAAGTTTTTTTCCTCTGCAAGTATTTATGCAATTCCCCATTAAAGGTTTGGTTATACAGAACTTTCCTATTGCCAAAAGTGACACAATAAATACCAATGGAGGAGAAACAATCCTTTTGGATTTTCAAAAGCTACGTTCCCTATAATTTTTCCTGCCGCTGTGTGAATCTCTGAGGTTTGTGCGTGTGAGTGACTTCCAGAGAACTGGAAATTAATGTGTCAGCATGCAGATTGGCATGTGCAGAATCTCTGTGCACTGTGCAACCAAAGGTGGTCGATAAGGTACTGCACATAAGGCTACTTAATAAGGTAAGAGTCCATGGTTTTGGAGACTGTATGTTATCACGGTCAGAGGAATGGGTAACTAATAGAAGATAGTGAGTTGGGATAAAGAGGGCATTTTCAGAATAGCAACTTGTAATTAGTGGAATGAATCAGGAATCAGTGCTGGGGCCAAAACTATTTACAATGTATATTAATCACTTAGGGATGATCTCTGATAGGGAGGGATTGTCTTCTGTCCAAAGGTTAAACAGGTTGGGACTCCACTCACTGGAGTTGGTGATGTCATTGAAACATATAGGATCTTAAGGGGCAAATGTTGAGAGGGTGTTTCCACTCATGAGAGAGTTTAGAATCAGAGGGCATAGTCTCACTATAAAGGGGTGCCAATTTAAGACTGAGATGAGGAGGAATTTCTTCTCTGAGGGCTGAGAGTCCTTGGAACTCCTTGTCACTGAGAACTGTGGGGACAGAGTCCTTGTGCATATTTAAGGCCAAGATAGATAGACTCTTGATCAGTCAGGGAATTGAGGATTATGGGAAAGGGCAGGAAAGTGGACGTGAAGAATGATGCCATTGTCCTATTGAATGGTGGAACAGGCTCCAGGGGCCAAATGGCCTATTCCTGTTCTTATTTCTTAGGGTTTTATAGGTGAGGAAAGCGAATGTACTATCACCTATTTTGTGAATGACACAAAAATAAGTGGGAAAGCAAGTTGTCAGCATGACACAAGATGTCAAGAGAGAGACATAGACATAGAGTCATGTACAGTGCGGGAACAGACTCTTTAGTCCAACTCGTCCATGCCGATCAGATGTCCTAAAATAATCTAGTCCCATTTGCCAGCATTTTGCCCAAATCCCTCTAAACCCTTCCTATTCAAATACCCATCCAGGTGCCTTTTAAATGTTGTAATTCCTCTGGCAGCTCATTCCATATATGCATCACCCTCTGTGTGAAAAAGTTGCCCCTCCGGTCTCTTTTAAATCTTGCCCCTGTCACCTTAAACCTATGCCCTCTAGTTTTTTATCCTCCCACCCCAGGGGAAAGACCTTTGCTCTTCACCCTATACATGCCCATCATGATTTAGTAAACGTCCATAAGATCACCCCTCAGCCTCCAAAACTCCAGGGAAAAAAAGTCCCAGCCTATTCAGCTATGACAGATTTCAACGCATTACTCTATCGTGGGGAGAAACCAACTCATACCACAGAGTTCAGTTGTTACATGTTGTATGAAGTTTTTTGAAAAAATCTAACTGCAATACAAATTGTTAATGTTCTTCTTCTTGTAAGGTGATACTGCAAGTGCAAATAACACTTCTGTATTATCGCAATTCTGCTGTAATTCTTTCCTAGTATTTCGAATTTTAAGTTACTAAAAAGAAATTGCTGTATTCCAGCACATTTCCATTAAAAAAATCACTTTCCCATATTTCATTATATTATTTAGACTAGTCTCCTTATGTTACAAACTGACATAATCAGGCCTGAACTCCTCAACCTATGTAAACACTTCTTCAGTGGCTATCAAAACCTGGAACAGAAAGTAAACCTACTGTTTCTGGCTCCAGGCAGAGACATTGCCTGTTGTACTTGCCAAGCCATTAAGATAGAGTCACATAAAATCTCACTGCAACTGAAAATCTGTTCCTGCCTACAATAGCCTTCACACTGTAGGGGTCAGTTTCATTGAGATTCCAACTTTACTTATCAGAGAATGGAGAAACTATGTTTGAACTTACAGTTAACAACTATTATTCTCCTGTCCAATGTTTACATCAATTGAAGTTCTTCCCTTTTCTGTCTTTTGAAATGTCAGGTTTGAACTTTGTTTGAGATCAGACACTCACATTTCAAATACTTTGATTTGTCTGTATAATTGGATTATATCTTTGTAGAGCTATTTAAAAATTATTCATTTGCATAATTTGAAATCTTTAGAATGTACATGAATATCTACTATTTTTGAAAGAAAGAAAAGTGAATGAGAGAGGGAATCACATTATTTGATTGGGTGATGTGAAAATATCTCCATAAATAAACATCTTCATAATCTAACAAGCATGCATTACACGTCTTTTTGCTGGATATAGTTGCCACGTTGGTCAACTTTCTTGCCTTCTCTTCTGACAAGCATGATTAATCTTTGTCTACACCACATTAACAGTAATCTAGCGGTGTGGATCATTGTCATTGTTAATTTTCATTACAGTCAAATGAAAAATTGGAAAGGCTCTATAGTAGGTGGATATTTGATGAATTGGAATACAACAACAGAAGCAGCAAAGGTGAAAATAATTGTATTAACTCTTTTCTAATACTTTTGATGGCCTCTCATGATCTTGGTAAACAAAGGCTGACCGTCCGATGTCTTTGGTAACAACCCTGCCAGTGATTTGAAGAACGGAAAATGCTTCAGCTATGCTTACAATCTATTTGACATATCATTGTCTTTGAAACTGAGAGGTCCTGATTGATCTGTCAGGCTGTAGGACCAAGGACAGTGCCAGTAAAATTACCAGAGCTGTCAGAAAACATGGCCTGACTGAATTGTCCTCCACATTTCATTAGTGTCAAACCAAGAATATAGAAAATGATTGGCAACACCTGCTGCAATCTCATATAGTAAATATTTCACATTAGTGGATTTTACAATGGTGCAGTCCTGTTTAATCTGGAGAGAGGGAAAAGGCGAAATGTTGGGAGTCACTTGTGTTCCTAAAAGCAGATAGCAGACGAATGAACAATCCTTTAAAAGTAAAAACCAGAGTATGTTTTTCATTAATCATAAAACGCTTGGGCTAACAGTACCCAAACAAAAACATATGCATCTTTAATATGAAGTCAGCTGAGCTCTCTGAATAGATTTTATCAGTGACATTGTCCAATGAAGGAAAGTAAAGCCTCAGAATTGTTTCATAAACAAATATCATTGCCAATAGTTTGAAAGTGCAGGTGGAAGTTATTTCCAACACTAAGTAGAAAATTACCTGCCCAACTCAATCATGCAATAAAAGACTATAACTGTCACCACAATTATGCAGATTTCCTTACTAATTCTACAAAACAATTGATGTTTTTACCTGCCAATAGTCTAAGCACCAGGCTAGCTAAACATTATTTTGTGTAACAGCTAAAAGGCTGGCCGACACAACTAAGGCCTTTGAAATGTGTTTTTCCCTATTTATAGCAGGCCTTTAAGTACACCCTATTTCAGAAATCAATTGCTTGCAGAATTGTTTCAGATGGTGAGTACAGTGCCTTTCAGTTTGCAGACTGATGCAAATGTTGTACTTCCATTTAGATGAAGCACATGTAATTATCCTAAACAACAGACAAGTTGTCAAATATTTGTAAGACTGCGAGGTACGTTAGTTAATAAATTAACGATGTGTTGCTGCGAAAAACATCCAAGTCTGAAATACACAAAGGTTCTTTTTAATCCAGTCCACCTCTGTCAGATCAATCCTGTGGGACTGGTACTGTGGAATACTGATGCACTACTTTTCCATTAGATATACACCACAAGTTTCTAAAACCCCTTGTAAATAATACAAATCTGGTTCAGATGTTGATGATAATTGTTCCTGACATTAAAAAGAAATAACTAATGCCGTTGCTATCTGGCTTGTCCCCTCAATGATTTCAAGCCAAACTTTACCTGCTTTGACTGCTTGACTGTAAGTGCAATTCCCCTTCAGGAAGACAGCTCCAATCATACTTATGCACAGAATTCCCAAACCGGTGGTTAACTTTTGCATTTTGAAGGGTCATATATGAGCGTCTGCTCTCCAAGTATTTAAGTCAGTACTACGCATACTTTAAAAAGGTATTTATGAGAGTCAAGCATGTTTGAATCCAGATTTGAGTTTAAACTTTTGCTCCATGCATTGTTGACAAGCCACCTTATACAGG